TCTTTGTGTTCATTTATATGTCCTTCAATTACTATTCATTTAAGTTTGCATTAATTTTCAATACTTATAAGTATTTACTAATACTTTTCAATTGTATAGATTAAATACATCTATAAACATAGAAGGAGATATATATTAACTATTTACTTTTTTTTAAAAACAAACATCCTAAATGAGTAATTCAATTATTTCAAGTACTTTTTAAATTCATAGAATTTTTGTTATACTTTACAAGGAGACAGATTAGAAAGATTTAAATAATAGGAGAACTTTAAATAAAATTATTCTAAATTAATATTTAAATTTCATTCTTCTTATTGTGCACTAAAAGAATTTAATTAATGCGTGAATTATGATTTTATGATTGCAATATATTATAAGATTATTAAACAATGGCTAGATCATAAAAAAGTCTTAGTATTTATCGTGAAAATATTGCATTCTCAGGTTATTTAATTCAAAACAAAATTAATAAAGGAGGATTTGGATCAATTTATAAAGGAGTCAATAAATCAACCCATTAAGAAGTAGCAATCAAACATTCACAATTTGACTTAAAAAATGAATATTAAATTATGACACAATTAACTAATGTAGTTGGGATACCAAAAGTTTATGGCTTTGAAGAATAAGAAAAATGGAGTTTTATGAGTATGGAACTTTTATCTCAGGATTTACACACAATCAAATGTAAATTAAAGCAATTTTCTTTAAAATGCATCTGTTTTATAGCAATAAAAGTATTGGAGATCTTAAAGTAAGTACACTAAATGAATATAGTACATAGAGATATCAAACCTACAAACTTAATGGTTAAATCACTTAAAGGTTTTAATTACTATTTATTTAAGACCCACAAATATACTTAATAGACTTTGGAATAGCCAAAGATTAGAGTAAGGGAGATACTCGTTAAGAGTTAGAGGGTACATTTTTATATGATCCTATATCTGTACATAAGAGATAGAAGTATCGATTTCTTGATGATATTGAAATGCTAGCTTACACTCTTGTATTTTTGTATAATGGTATTTAAATTAATCATGTGTATAGGTCATTTGCCTTGGAAAAAATATGGAAATGAAGTTTTAGTTAATGGAGATGCATTAAAATAAAAGGAGTAATATATAAATTCAAAAGCAATGAGTTAATTACCTTTTGCTGATTTATTTGGGTATATTAAATGGAATCAGCATATAAAGAAACCTGATTATGAATTCTTAATCAATTTATTTAGAAATATCTTAAGAGAAAATAAAATAATAGAAAACTACTAATTTGATTGGATAGAATAAGCTACTCCTTAAATGAAGAGATAATCGAAGTATTTAATGATTGAAGATTTGAATACAGGTATAGTATCATAAACATATATAGATTTAAATGAAGAAGAATAATAATGCTAGGGTGTTTCTTTATTATCAGAACTAGTATATAAATTCTTTAAAGATTGATATATATATATATAAATATATTTTTTACAATTTTTATAAATAATATGAAAAGAATATTGTTTACAGGTGTAATGTCTTGTCTTACAGTGACTGCTATGTCAGCATGCAACTGGTAATATAGACGTTATTAGGAATCTATAAGAAAATGGAAATTGATTGATGAACAATTCAAACCAGATTATCCAATATAAAATATGGAGATTTCAGATATTCTATAATTAGATCCTAAAAAATATTCATATATACTAGTTAAAACATCAGGGTTATTTTAATAAAGATTGTCGTAGAACTCTTGATAAATATATACTAAAGGTGTACAGATATTAAGATGGAAGGCCAGGAATGATGTTGTGCGGTATACTAAGAGATAATTCAAATGAAGCCATAATAGTAAATTTGGGTTGGGTTCCAGAAAATTATTTAGATTAAATAGAATCAATTGAAGGAATAAAATTAAAAGATATGTGTGGTATGATAAAATTACCAGAACATCCAGATAAGAATACAGATTAAAATCTTATGAATACTTTTATTGATCTTGAATTAATAGCAAAAGAGAATTAATTATAAGAGAAATCAAAAAAATTATATTTAGAAAGATTAGGAACATCTACTGAAAATGCAGGATTATTTAAATCTTAAGGTAAAAATGGATTGATATATTAATATTTAAGATTTGTATCCTGTTCCTAGTTTCTATTCTACATTTTAGAAACCATATTTGACACCAGATAAACATAGAGCATATTATTGGTTTTGGGGATCATGTTCATGTTTAGGAATTTTATCAATAATTTAACTAATAAGAAAATGAGATTGATTAATATCTATAAATTTATATAATTTAATGAAGAGTATAAGAAAATCTGTAGTTAAGTGTAATTTAAATTGCTAATCAAAGTGCTTAAGTCAATAGATTTATTTGGATAGAATATATTGTTAAATCTCAATGGAGAAGATGAATACAAAACTGCCTTTGGTGGTTTCTTCACTTTAATGATCCTAGGAATAGTTGTTTTATTTTTTTAATCCAATATTCGAGACTTTATAAATAAAGTAAACATTTAAAGTGAGACAACCGAAGTTTTTGAAGATGAACCTGATTCAATATAACTTAATGAATCAAATTTTATGTTTGCTGTAGCTATAGAATAAGTTAATTTCAATACTAATCCATTTTTTAATATAACTTTACGATAAAGGTAACTTATCCTATTATTTTTTATATAAGATAGTATGAAAGATTAGAAAATGGTACTCTTATTAAACGAGATCAACATATTGATTTAATACCATGTACTTTAGATAGATTTTAAAATATATTTACTCCATATGCATTGAATTTTACATAACAATATCGTGAAATAGGTCTAGATACTTGGTTATGTCCATAGTACTTCTATTTTCAATTATAGGTTTAATTATTCTGTTTCTTTGAAAGGAAGGTACACAAATAAATATTTTGATTTCCTTAAAATTGCTGTTAATGAATGTAGTAATTAAACATAATCTAATTCATTTTTTACTTGGAAACCAGTTTGTGCTTCTTAAGAATTATTAGATGAATGGTTATTAGATCAAAGATCTTTTAGAGTTAAATTGTAATTATATATATAAGTTTTATTTTAAGATACATTACAAATAAAGTAATTAATCCTGAAAAAGGAGATGAATATATTTAATCATTTTTAGATGATGAATTATTCTTTTCATTTGTACCAAATATAATTGGTAAAGAAACTGATGTTTTTTTCACCAAATATATATTACATACTGATAATAATTTATTACCAACAAGTGAAGAATCAGAAGCTTCTGAAATATTTGCAAAATAAGAAGGTGATTATAGAGATTAAGGAATTTATGCTGCAGAATAATTTGCTGCCATTTATTTAAGAAGATCCCCTTATACCAATTACATATCAAGATCATATCAAAAATTAGATAAATTACTTTCCATCCTTGGTGGTTTTGCTAATATTGTCTTTGTTGTTCTAGGTTTCTTTGTAGGGATATATAATAAATAATAATGTACATTTCTAAAATCAGCTAGATCTAATTGAATTAGCTAATGAGGTCTATGATTTTCATTTTGGCAATGAAAACAAAGCTAAATTTGAGAGATAACAATTAGTCAAAGAAATCACATATGTTAAATCATAATCAAAAATAATCAGTTAAAGATGTAGTCCTGTATCTTCAATAAATCCTGCTAATTAATCTATTAATCAAAATCCAATCTAATCAATTAGACCAGTAATATCACATCAAGTTGATTGTACTTTAGTAATTCATAATGACAAAGTAGATTCAGAATAAAAGTAGCATAAATCTAATAAGAGTTCAGTAATAAATTTATAACCAGTTGGAGATAATGAAATAGAATGGGAAAGTATTGATAAAAGTATGCTTTCTTGTAATCTTACATAAAATAATAATCATACAGATATTGCTATGTTTGGTAGTACTGCAAAATTTCATTAAGAAAGACAATCTAAAACTTAGATTGATTAAGAGTAAAAGAGTATGAAACAATCTATTAAATAAATGCATAAATAAATAGTTAATAAAATTGGAATTCATAATAGAAAAGAATATTTAACTAAATAAATATAAATGATGCTTGATAGAAGTCGTCCAATTGTTTTCACTTTTAAATTTGTATTACATTAATTATTTTGTGGCAAATTATTTTAAGATAAAAATTGTATTCTATTGGATAAAGCAATGTAAACTAATTAATTTAAAATTATAGAAAAAAAATAAATTAAGATTTAGATATATGTGTATTAATTGATAAAGTTAATGAAATTAATTTAATTAAAGAACTTTTATTGGAAAGAGATTAATAAATATTATTTAATTTTGCACCAAAAGAAGTGATTACAATTGAAGATTAATTTTATAAACATCATTTACCAGGAAGAAGAGATTCTAAGTATATATATATATAATTTATTTATTTATTTTAGACGTGCATTTACTAAAAGATTAGGTGTATAATTTAGTGATGTAGCTAAAATGATGTTTGATAAGAAATTTAAAAAAGGATAATTTGTAAATCCTGGATTATAAATTTATTATAAATTGTATTAAGCATATGAAAGAGTCATTCTTTCAGAAGAGAAGAATAATAGATTTAATAAAATACTCATTGAAAAATTAGGATAAGAAGTAAAAGAAGTCTTTGATATTTCAAATTATATTTAAGTGGATAAAAATAGAATGATTATGGATAAGTTAAAAAAAAAGAAAGTTAATTTACATGAAGATGAAGTTGAAGATTTACCTGGTTTATTAAGTATGGATTAAAGAGATTTGAAATAATCAATGATTAAATGATTTTAAGTATGAACTCATCTTCTTACAATTTTTATCATATAAATTAAAATATAATTAATAATGAGTTGTGATATTTGTAAAAAACCTTTTAATATATTATGGAGAAGAGATACTAAATGTAAACGTTGTAATCGAATTATTTGTACTGATTGCTCTAAATTACAATAAGTTAGAGATGTGTTTAGAAATATATGTAAACTTTGTATGCAAGGTATAAAACTATTTACTAACTTTAGATTGTGAAACTATAAGAAAGATAATTTCAGAATCCCTTTTAGCTTGGAATCATAATAGTGAAATTGCCAAAAAATATTGGGTCAAAGATGTTGAATTCATCAAATCTATGTACAAATTAAATAAAGAAATTAAATAATCCAAAATTGCAAGAGATGTTAAAACTATTTTATAAACACCAATGAATTACTCAATCTAAGAATTTTTTAATTTATTGATATTTAATAATAGAGATGTTGAAGCTACCATAACAAATGTAGTTGATACCTTTGTAACTCGTAATCCTAAAGTTGGTTACAATTAATATTTGATTAAATTAACAATATTCTTGTTATGTTTTTGTAAGGACTATGTTTGTTTAAAAATTCTAGAAGATTTATATAATAAAATACCAAAACAATATTATCCTGAGTATTAAACTACTTAAGAATTTATTAAAGATCATGATTAAATGTAACATGATGCTATTTAAGATGTTAAATTTAGATTCAAATTGGAATAAGATTAAATTATGGCAGCCAAATAATTTATTGAATCAGCTATGATGCATTATAAGAATCAATTCTTTCTAAATCTAACATTTTCTAGTGCTTTCTATATTTTAGATAAAATTATCTAAAGTAATGATTCAACAGAAATTGATAAATTCTTTAGTGTAATAATTCAAATTAATATTAATTAATTACAAACTAAAAATTCTGAGCTTGTAATAGCTAGAACTACAACTGTTGAAAGCATAAAATAATATTAAAATTAATTAGCTAAAAAAAGATCTTCATTATATTTATCTGTTGATAAATGTGCTTAAGATGCTAGATAATAATCTCAATAATCTTGTCGCACAATACAAAAAAAATTTGAAGTTAGTGAATTCGAGGCAGATGAGAATGAAAATTTAAGTCATCAATCACCTACTTTACTCTAATCATAAAAATTAGAAATTACAAAATTAACATAAGAACTTTTATAATTGGAATAATAAATAAATTAATTAAGAATTGAAAATCAATAATTAGAAGAAATTAGTGTTTAAAATACTGTAGTTCTTTTTAAAGAATATGAAAACACTATAAGTGATTTAATAGATTAGACAGAGATATTATTAAAATAATCAATGATGAGTGGTTGAATATTTTATTTTATATTTGAGTCACTTTTGAAAAAACTTAGGTTCACTAAAATCTATTCCATAAATTTCTTTATAAACTTCTTATATAGATTTATCAAGAGTTGATATTAGATGTCCTTCCCCTTTATGAATAACATGAGTTTTAGGATTTTTATTCCTTATAACTTAACATCTCTCCAAAATAACCTTAGAAGTTTCAATAGGATTAAAAGTTTCCATTTCATTATTTTATTTAGCTTTATTATCTTTTGTTTCATTCTCTTCTGTCTTTTAAACTTCCCTTTATTGTTATTAAGATTCTAAATAATTTGATTTGATTACTCTTTTCTTCAGTATCTAATTACTTCATTTAAGGCAATGATCTTGTATGGTCCATAAGTGATACTAAAAAGGTAGAGATAAACAATATATATACATGGTAAATTATTATACATTGTTGATGCAGCTTAGAAATGTGTTTTTTAATGTAGAGAAGGCAAAAGGTTTTTAGCAACTAATCTACTGATATAAGCTTTGCGATCTTAAGATGTCATATTATCAGAAAGAGTTTCAATATTGATCAATTTCTTTTTTGGGAATTTCTGATTTTCTACTTGTGTTTGAGTATGATCTTTAAGAAACTGTTCAATTCTTTCTAAACTTGTTTTATCTCTATATCGAAAAATATCACGTTTGATATCTTTAGAAGGATCTCTTTCTCTGAAACAATAATGAGCAACTTATCGATTAGGTAAGAAGTCAAGATCCTTATTCTTATCAAGTGCTTCTTATATTCGATCTTTTTCATGTTTGAAACCCTTAACATAGAATTGTGGGTCTCCTAAATTCTTTGAAGGATCTTCATCTCTAAATGCTGATTGATTAGGTTAATGATAGTCAACACAAACTATTGGATTCTCAAGCATATTAATAACAAAATTTTCAACTCTTTTTTTATAATTCTAAGCTAATCTATTGTTTAATTCTTTAATTGTTAATTTGATTTATACCTTTACGTACTTCTCGTTCTCTAAGATACCCTTTCTTTATCTTATCTATGTCTTTAGTGAATGTAAGTTATTTCTCATACTAGTATGAATTAAACATTTGATTTGTGTTATTAATTTTTATATTTTAATTAATGGGTGTTCCTAATTTCTATTCATGGCTAATGAAAAGATATCCTCTATGTCTATATGAACACACAAGAGCATAAAGAGTTGATTATTTTTATTTAGATATGAATTAAATCATTTATAAGTGTGCAACTGATCCTACTGTGTTATTCAAAGATCAATTAAGAGAAAGAGATTTTGATGATGTTTGGGTTTCAATAATAAACTATTTGGATATGATCATTAATTTAGTTAATCCTTAATAATTACTATTTTTAGCATTTGATGGAGTTGCACCACGTGCTAAAATGAATTAATAGCGTCAAAGACGGTTTCAATCATAAAAGAGATATAAGTATTTAAGTGCTCATCTTCAATAAATTGGTTTATTTCAAAAGAATGAAACTTATAAAAATAATCAATTCAGTCCTGGTACTGAATTTATGACTCAATTGTATTATATATTCAAATATTAAGAAATCAATAGATAAAATTTTATATAGAGAGAAAATATTATGAAGATCCAAAATTCAAAAATCTAAAAATCATTTTCTCTGGATGTGATGTACCAGGAGAAGGTGAACATAAACTACTTAGTTTTATTCGTAATCTTTAATGCGATCCTAATAGTGTTCATATGATTTATGGAGCAGATGCAGATTTAATTATGTTAGGTTTACTTACTTAATTGAAAAATGTTCTCATTATTAGAGAAGATCTTAAATTCAAATAAGTTGCTAGTGCTGCTGCAAATAGAATTGTTAAAATTCCTGAATTTCTAATTATCAATATTTCTATTGTAAGAGAATATTTGGATCTAGAATTTGCAGTCTTAAAAGATAAAATGAAGATTGCTTATGACATTAATTGCATAATAGATGATTTTATTTTATTATGTTTTTTTGTTGGCAATGATTTCTTACCAAGAATTTATTGTTTTGACATTAGAATTGGTACTATAGAACCCCTTGTTGACTTATTCAAAAAACATTTAACTAATGCTAATGATTATATTGTTCATAGAGGAGATATCAATTACAAAGAATTATTAAGTCTTCTTGAATTATTGTAAGGATTTGAGAAATTATGTATTAATGATAGACAATAAGAGATGCTTAATTATTTAAATACTAAACATGAGAACAAATAAATGATTGCCAAAGAAAAAGAATTGATTGATAATATTTTGAAATATTTTTCACTCCAAGAATAAACAGAGGGAAGAAAATTTTATTATAAAGCAAAATGTTAAATTACTCAAGGTGATGAATTAGATCTAGAAAAACTGGGAGATATGTGTATTAATTATATGGAGGGAATTTACTTTGTTTTATAGTATTATTTCAAAGGAGTTCCTTCTTGGGAATGGTATTATAAATATTATTATGCTCCTTTGTGTGGAGATATTGTTGGTGTTGTATAAAATATAGTAGAAAATTTATAAGATAAAGAAGAACCTATTGTATTAACAAAGGGTTAACCATATCCTCCATTTAAATAACTACTTAGTATCTTAACTCCAGAGAATGCTTTACTCTTACCTGAACAATATGGTAAACTTTTAACAGACAAAGAAAATTCAATACTCAGAACTCCTATTGATTATTATCCAGAAGATTTTGAAACTGATTCCTATGGTACAATGTATGAACATCAACATATAACAAAGATTCCATTTTTGGATTGCAAAATTGTTGAAGAGGCATATAATTAAATTCCTGATACACATGATTAAAGAAATCAATAAGCTCAATCAATATTTTATTAATATGATTCAAATCAATAATAAATCTATGAATCTACATTGCCTAAACATTTCAGTAACTTTAAATCTTTTTGTAAGAAATAATTTATAGATATTGATGATAAAGAATAATGTTAAATTGCTTATGAATAATAATAATAATAATAATAATAATAATAATAATAATAATAATAAATTATTGAATAATTTGAAAATTTTTATTAAATTCCTACATTAAAAGTAGTTAATATTAAATCATCAAAATTGATTAATATACAATAACATGAAGATGATATGAAAAAATTTGAGAATTAATTCTTATTATTAGAATTGTAATCAGCTAAATTTGATTTTGATTCATTCATTTAAGATGTGATCAAAAATAAGAATTTTGTCTATTGTGGATTTCCTATATAATAATAATGTGAATTATTAGCTATTCTTAGACCTGATCATTTAAATTTACTAGAAGGAATTAAACTAACATCAATTTCATTGCTCAAAGATTACAGTAAAAAGGATCATAGCAAAATATATAAAGAAATAAGAAATAAAACCTTAAATTAATATGAGAAATACATGAAATTAGATTGTTCAATATTTTTAATAGTAAAACAATATAAACATTATATCAGAGACAATAATAATCAATTAAGTTATCCATAAGAATAATATAGAGAATTAGTATATCCATATGAATTTGTATTTCCAGATTAGAAAGTTAAATTCATTATTCCAAATTTTGAAGATTTTCAAATTGATAGATAAGTTGTAATATTTCATGAAAAATAAAATGGAGCCAATGGAATCATTAAATAAATTGATAAAAAATTAACTATTCAAATAACAGCTTATCCAACTTTATTAGGATATGATTATATACACTCTGACATTTATTATTCTTTATAAATTGTAAGTGAGAAACTTTAATGCTCAGTTAAAACCTTATTGAATTTACTTGGAAGTGTTGTTGTCAATATGGAGGATAAGGAATCCAAAATTGCTGATCAATTAGATATTGGATTGAATATAATTAATAGAACTAATAATCAATTAGTACCTGAATTAGTAAGATTACCTTAGGCTGATTAATATGCTACTGGATCATCTAAATATCAAAAATTTAAAGATTTAGAATTATCTGAAAAATGTGTTACAATTCTATGTAAATACAGAAATTAATGTTCAAGAGTTTAATAATATCTTAATTAATTGAATGATAGTTAAAGAAATTGTCCAATTAATGCTAAGGATTTATTTCCTAATTCATCTGATCCTAATATTGATCTCCTTAAAATTTATATCTGGATTTTGTAATTACCTGAATCTTAATATTTATTACAAGGTAGTTCATCTAAAGTGGCTGAAATTAAGATTCATAAAAAACCTATTCAAAATTTTAATATTACTAAAAAAGTAGATCCTGGTTTTGTTATTTAATAAACAACTTAGACATTTCTACCTCCTTTCTTTATTAAACATCCAACAATTCATAAAATTGGAGATAGAGTTGTGAATATAAACTATCCCTTTGGTATATATGGTACTGTTGTTGGATTATTGGAATAAAAAGAAATTATGGTTTAAGTCTTATGGGATTAAAAATATATTGGATTTACTAATCTTGGTGGAAGATATGATTTATTAACATGTTCAACTTGCAAATTTACAGAAATCTTTAATCTATCAAATGAAGATTGGAGATTGAATCTTGCTAAAAAGGGATGTCATTAAGGAGAGTTTTGGGATTTATGGACAAAAGTATATAAACCTGATTTTAAATCTAGAGCAATTGAATTTAATGATCAATTAAAAGAATAAAATCCATTCAAATAATTAGTTGAATTACCTGTTGAAATTAGACCAAAGGTATTAATAAAAGATAAAGATAAAGATGCTCCATAAGGTTTAGAATTACTTTAAAAACTTGCTTAAGAATAACCTAATTTAATAACAAATTAACCTTTATAAGGAATTAAAGAAGAGTAAATTGATTAAAATGAAGATGAAGCATAAAAAGAAATTAAAAAACTATTTTTAATGTAATAATAAATTGATTAGCAATCTTAAGTAGAATAGTAAAAACAAACATAGAAATAAAGTAATGAAGAAGATTAAAAGGTATTGCCTTAATAAATAGAAGAGAAAGAGGAAAAGTAATATCCCTAGTAATAAATTAAAGTGTAAACTTAATAAGTTAAAAAAGTATTAACTAAAAAAAAAGATTAATAATAATTATAGTAATGATAGTATTATAATAAATCATCATATATTATATAAAGTTATATAACTTTTAAATAAATTAACTCCTTAGAGATTTTCTATTATTTAATTTCATAATTAAATAATTTTCTTAAATATCTTCAAATCTTATAATATAGAAGAGTATTGTTATTTTCCTTAGTTAATTGAAGTATTTATATTGTAGTACTTAAATAATAAGATAAGAGGAAATGTAAAAGATCCTGAAATTAATTGACAACATTATAATATAGAATTAATCAACTATTTATTTTCAAATTAACTTTTAATTAATCTAAACTTGTAATGCATGGAGGATCTGAATTTACTGAATCGCATTAAAACTCATCATCCAATGGTTCACTATTGATTTTTCTGTCATTTTCCCATTAAATAAATTGAGAAACTTCAAAAATATCTCTTACTTCCTGTCCCAATTTTCCAATCAATTTTTCATTGATCTTATCATTCTATTACAATGATTGATGCATTCGATCATAAGCCTATATTAAAATAAATTATAACCTTAAATAATTTATAATAGGTATTTATTGATTGATTAGATTTGTTTTATTCTTCCAAACTATTAAGTGTATTCTAAATCTAGTTAAAATTTCTTATAGTATTCCTAGCTAAATTCCTTGAGGTTAATTTTTTTTCCACTTCTAAATTGATAACTTCTTTGGGAGCGAAATCAAATAACACTAATTAGTCTTCTGTTAATAATAATTCTTTTAACAAATTAATTTCTTTAACTTTATCAATAATAACACATAGATCTAAATCTTGATTGATGTTTTTACTATTATAGATATAATTTAAATTACATAGCTTTTTATAGTAATATACTATTCCTATCATAGAAGAATCTTTAACAAAACAACTGATACAAAATATATTTACAATTAAAAAATATAGGGCAACTTCTATTTAGAATCTTTTCAATTTATTAAGTTAAATAGCTCTTTCTATCAGTTATACCTAATTATTAAATAATTTTTTCTTATTCTTATTAAAATGTTTACTATTCACCTTATTTTGTTATACACTATTCATCTTATTTAGTTGTATCATTAATAATTAATTATTAATTTTGATTATATTTTGGTGATTATAATTAAGAATATTGAGTATTTGGTTTTTAAATAATTGTTCTACTTTTGGCTCTAGCAATGGTCTTTTTGATTTCTTTTCTTTGCTGAAGTTCAATATTACTTACATTTTTAATTGGGAAATCATATACTTAATTTGCTAATTCAATCATAACTATATAAATTAGATTCATTATATACATTAGGATTTATTGTAAAATGATATAAAAAATCCAAAAATCATAACAACAATATTAGCAAAACCACCTAAATATGAAAGTAAATCAGCTAAATCCTAAAAATCTCTCTTGACTTTATAAGTATATGGACTTCTTCTCATATAAAGAGCAGAATAAGATGAACCACTGTTTTAAACATTGTTTACTCTAAAATCTCCTTATTATTTGATATTAAATAATTGTTCTTAATTGTCTTCAATATATGGGAATATATTTTGATTGGTTGTGACATTATACTTTTAATAAAATACATCTGTTTCAGTTCCAGTGAGTAAGAGAAATGAAAAGAATAGTTCATCATCAAGGAAAACTTAGGATATGTTTTTTGGTTATAATGGATTAATGATAGTATTGGTCATATACCTAAATTTAAGATATGAAGAAGTACATTTTTAATCTAAATGATCTATCATTGTTTAAATGATTATCTCTATCAAATGAACTAGCACATTTTGGCTTCCAAGTTAGGATTTAATTATTATCAGTATAATTTGAACATTCAGAAACAGTTATTTTGGTAAACTCAAATATTTGACTTGTGTATCCACCTGATAATCTTATTGAATAATTGTAGTGAGGACATAACCATTCTGATAATCCTAGAGAAATAAATTGATCGGTGAAATTTTAATTATTAAATATGTTTTGAAATCTGTCAATAGTACATGGTATCAGATCTATAAATGAATCTTATTTGATTATTGTTCCATTATTTAACCTTGTATAAATTCTTTATTTCAGAGTGATGTTGAAATAAGGATTAGTGTTAAAATTGTTTTATTCAATAGCTAATGCAAACATATAATTATCATCATTAAAGATTATATCATCTGGATTAGCATCAAATAATGTTTATACATCTAAATTCACATAATTTTTATTCAGGAAATCTACAATATTTTATTAGAAAAAGAAAGCAATGACAGCAATGATTGTAATCGAAATAATACCACCTGTGGCTGTTTAATAAGAATCATCACCATTGAAGTTTAATTGGATGTTTTGCCCAAAAATATCGAAATTCTTAAAAACTTTAAATGCTATTGATTATTACATCCTATAGATTTTTTGAACATTCAATTTTAATATATTTATATTAATACTCATAATATATATATATACATCCTTAGAATGGATATTATGTAAATGTTTATCTAAGACAATTATGTTTATATTGAATATATATAATAATTATACAATTTATAATAATAATTATAATGAGCAATAGTGTAAATGGAGATGAGTTTTCAGAAAGAGATGAATGTGATATTGAAGGAGATGATTAAATGCCTTAATTTAATATGGAATAAGTAAGGGAAATCTTAAATATAGGTTTATTTATCAATGACATCTGAATTCGATGGAATCTTTGCCTAATCATTTCTCATCTCGAAATAAATAACATCTTATGTTATCAAATAATCATTAAAAATAGCAGAAGAATAAGTATTCCATAATTTTATTTAGTTTATGCAAACTCAAATACCCATCAGTTCCAATGCATAAGTAATGACAATTATGGAATTAATTGTTGTTAGTTATTTTAATCAAGATGGTTTAACAATTGAGGGATGTAATATGTCTGAAGATAGTGAACCTGTATATATTTGTGTATAATAAAAGAATGTAATACATTATGATCGTTGGAGAAGAAATAGAGTTAGTATTGAAGAAATGAGTTAGTCATTCTCTGAGGAATAAGAAGAGTAGGTTGAAAATGAAATACCATCATAACATAATAGCTCAAAAAATAACAAGTAAAGATTTTCAGTTTTGGAAAGGAAAAAACCATCAACTGTTGCACCTCCAAAGTCAAGTCATTCAGAGATAAGATTAATTGAATTTTAAGTAGCAGAAGAAGAAGATGATTTTGTTGATAAATTAAGATAGAAGAAACTTTACGATATTAAGAAGAAGAATGAAATTGAATAGAAAATTAAAGAAGACATCATATAAAATTAAGTATAAATTTAACTATTTCCTTAGAAAAAAGAATCATCTTCAAACAAATATACTTATGATTATGATGGCAAAATTCTATTATCAAGAGGAGTCAAATATGATAAATTATAACCTACTGCATTAAAAATTAAGGTCGATTTGAAAGATCTTCCTAAAACAACTAATTAATAGAATATACCTTAAACCAATTCAAAAAAAGGAAGCAAATAAGTCATCTAAACTTAATAACCAATACCAATACCTCCTAAAACTACTGCAGATATACCAAATAAAGTAACATCATGAATTATATAAGAATATAATAGATCGAAAGGATGCAACCAAAGATGCAACTGGAGATAAAGGACTTCGAATTGACAGAGGAGCATAATTACCTTATGATACCTTCTCTATGACAAATGGCGTTAAATTGATATATGAATAAAGATACAAAGAAGGAATTAGACATTAGGTTAGTGATTCTGCTGAGTAATTACAATATAGATTGTCAGGATAAAACTTTTTACCTGGTGATGACATAACTAAATAAATGCAATAAATTAGATTAACTCGAACAGAATATAAAATGTTAACTGACAATGGTAATCCATTTTAATAATAAACTAAATCTTAATTTATACCATAAGAAAGTGTTGAAACAAAAAAGAATTTAGATAATACTAAACTTGAAAAGACAGTTCAATTTAATGAAAGTCATCTTGTCATGAACAAATTCTCTCCTAACAAACAAAACTAATAGAAAATAGAAACTAAATAAGAGAAAATATTAACTAAAAATGCTAAATTACTTGAAAATCTTCTAGTATAACCTAATAAGCCAGAAACACCAAGTTAAACAATTAAAAAAAGTGAACCCATATATAAGTTAGTAATTATTATTTAAACTAGAAATCCTATTGATATTTTTAATCAATCATTACTCAATTAAAAAGATTAGGGTAAAACTAATGCTAAAATTGGATATTTTCCTCCTGTTCCTGCCCCTGCACGTTCATCGTAAAACCGAGGACATAATGGATCATTAGAATAACTGTATTTATTTTTGATTTATAACTATAGTTACAAGCTGCCAAGAGATAGAATCAATGTACAATAGTAGAGAACTTAAAGTGAATTCTATAAATTGTAACCAAAAAGATCTACTCATAAATCAATGAGCGAAGGGATGTTTTAAACCTTTTATACAACACATTCCAAGTTTGATGAAAAACTTAGATAATTTTGATTTATATGAATTATGTATTTCAAGTTTTCTTGGCTAAATTTCTCAATATTGAGGGATTTGGAGACTCTTAAGTTTAATTGAATAAATGAGTCTTGAATCTTTAAAAGGTTTCCTCATAATTATCAACTTACTTTCTTATAATTTTTAATGTATAAAATTTCAATAGGTTTTTGATGTCAATACAAATATCTACTCAAATAAAATAATTTTTTTTAATAATTAGATTTAATTTATGCCAATTTATTAAAGCATACTTCTTACAATTATTTATATGAATTTATTGCTTTTACCAATAGTGACCTCAAAAATGGTCTTTATTCATTTAGATTAATGGGATGCATAGATGTCTCTAAGTATATACTGTAACTAATCTGATATTTTTTTATAATATTATTTCTTATGTTTTTGTTAGATGATTTCATAGGAAATAATGTTTCAGCATTTAATAAAGTAATTATAAGACTAGTAATATTAAATTGATTATTTATGGATTATTCAAAAAATTTTGGATTGATTTATATATAATATTAATCTAGTATAATTAAGTTAAAAAAGTAGGATTTGAATCATTAAATGAATAGAAGTTTTAATGATGATGATGAAACTTTAACATTGGAAGAGGAATTCATGGAAGATTATTCTCCTACAAAACAAGGTTAAATTTAAGTAATATTTAGAAATTCGAGAATATGCAATTCATTTAGGAATGAATTTACCTGAAGACAATAAATATTTGGATATTGCAGAAGCTGGTTTAAAAGCAAAGTTACCTGATGAATGGAAGATTTGTTCTAAGAAGATTAATGGGATCGATTAAGTTTACTATAAAAATAAGAATACCAAGGAAATAATTTATGATCATCCTTGTGATATGATTTATTCAAAGAAATATGAGGAAGCTAAATAAATTGATTTATAAAATCAGAAGAAAAAAGTATTTAAGAATATATATTCCAGAAATCGACTGGGATTAATAAGTTCAAAAATGATATTGAAAAATATAGGGTATTAAATGGGTAGGATGGAAATGAAGATTCTGAGTCATTTATGATGAACTCAAATGAATATTACTAGAATAGATAGAATCAAGGTTATGTGATGTAAAATCCTATTTAACCTTCAGCAACTTAGAATTTATTATCTCAAGTTGATTAAGAATTTGCATAATAAATTTAAGAATATGAGGATGACAAGAAGAAAGATGTAATTAAGTTGAAAGAGGAAAACAAATAGAAATTGAATAAAATGGAATTAATTTTAATGAATGAGGCAGATCCTTAGTTATTTGAATTAAAAGAAGAATATGAAAGATAGAAGGAAAATTTGATTAAGAGTGAGGAGGAGAAAAAAAAGAAGATAAAAAGAAAAGTAGAAGAAGAAATGGAGTAAAATATAAGAAATTAAAAGAATATATTATAAAAATAATTAGAACGTAATTTTGAGAATTATGAATATGAATAAGAGAGAACAATGAAGAATAACTTAAGAATTTTGGAATAGGAATTATAGGGATAATAAAAAGATATAATAAAACGAATTAATTAAAGATAAAAGGAATTATCAGATTCAGATTCTAAATGGATGAAATAATTATAGGAGAAAAAAAAGAATGTTGAGAATTAATTAAATAAATATAAAAAAGAATTAAATTAGGAAATTTATTAAAAGATTTAAGAAATAGATTAAGAAAATATGAAAAGATTAAGATCAGAGTAAGAAGCTATTAAGAGAAAATTAACAAATGAATTTGATAAAGTAAAAAGAGAATATAAATTTGAAATAGTAGATCTTTAAGAAGAAAATCAAAGAATGATAAGATCAATAAAAGAAGAAATGAAAAGTTAATATGATCCAAAATTTAATTATAGTTAATAAACATTTAATGATTAATTGTAAAATATTGAATTAAGTGAATCTTAAATTTTGTAATCTTAAATATTTGAATACAAAAATATAGATATTGAATAGAAAAAGTAAGAAAATGTTTAAAGAATTGCTTAATAAAATGAAAAATTAATTTAATAATTATAAAATTAACTCATAAATTTTGAAGTTTAAAAGAAAGAGAAATATTTGGAAATGAAAAGAAAGTTAGAGGAAACTTTAAGATTAAAGTTAGAGAAGATTTAAAAAGATTATGAAAAGAAGACAGGTAAAATATTAGGAAATGGAAAAGAAATAGATTTATGTATGGAAATTAATTAAATTAAAAGTAATATATAAGAATTGAAAGAAGAAATAAAATATTTGAAAAGAAAAAAGATTGAAGATGAAGAGAAATTAACAGGTATGAATATTGTTATTTCAAAATATGACTTATAAAATGAATTAAAATAAAGAGATGTAATCAAATATGAATTGGACCGTTTGAAATTTTTGGTTGAATAATATAAGGAAGATGATAAAAAAAGTGAAAAATAATTAGAGTTATTAGAATAATAGTATTAGTCATGTATAAGATAAAATTAAGAATATAATTAGAAATAAAAACTAATGGAAACTATGATTTAAAGTTTTCATGAATTAAGAGAATAATTGGCAGCTAATTAAAGTATTGAAAATTCAAAGTTTTAAAGTAATCTCTTTAAATAAACAGGCACTTAATATTTTGGAACTGATATAAATATTTAAAATAATCTATCAATGAATTAAAGTGTAGTGATTGAAGAGAATGTAATATAAATGTAATTATAATTATTAATCATTTAGGCGTAAATGGAAATTAATTTTATTGGATGAAAGGGTTGCTTTAAATAGAGAAAGACAATTATATAAAATTAATAAAGAAAATATAGATCAAATGAAAAAAAAATTGATAGTAGATTCAGAATAATTGAAGTCTCAACTTTAATTAGCATAATAATTTGATTAAAATAATATGAAGAAAGATTTAATAAAGAAATTAAAATCAGAAATAGAAGAATAATAAAAAAAAATTGTATTTGATACAGAAAAATTAGATAATTGGAGATTAGTAATATAATAGAAGTCTAAAATTTTAGATTAAATGGAAATAAATATAAATGATGATAATCCTTAATCATAATTATTATATTCTCTAGAATAATTATATTCGTTATATTTTAAAATGGGAGAAGTTGAATTAACTAATTATTTACAAGAATAATAAATCTCGAAACTCAATTAATCCTATAAATTATAAGAAATTTAATAATAGTAACAAAAACAAGGGATTTAATTTGATAATTTATAAACAATAAATTTAGAATAATCAGACTAATTAACAAGACAATTAATATTATAAAAAGAAGAATTATAAAATTATAAGAACAAAGTAATTATTAATATTACATTTTAGATCCATAGTACTAATCCTTACAGTATAGATTCTAGAGAAAGATTGTTAAGGTACTAAGAATTTATATAATAAAAAGTATGACTTATATATAATTATATTTATTTTTTAAAACAAAATTAATTAGAATATTTTTAATTTTTTGGATGAAAACTTAATTATTTCTATTTTAGTACTAATTTAAAAAATTTTAAATGCTAACTATCCTTACTAATTTATATATATTTAAGGATTATTCTTTTATAACAAGTTCAATTATATTTATAATATGATTGATCAATTAAATTCTAAATAATTAAAGTCTTCTATTTATTCAAAATTGTCAATTCATAAGGGAATTCTTAGAATCCTACATCTTACTAACATTTCAAGAGTGATCAATAATATTAAGGAATAAAAGTAAAATATATATGTTATGAGAAGAATAGATTTTTTTTGTTTTCATGCTAATTGAGGTATAGAACTAGTTTTAAATCTTTAATCTAAGATGAAATAAATAAAGAATGGATAAAATAGGATATAAAAGATTAAATGATTTGGAATTGATCAGAAATCTAGATAGATTTAGTACTTACTTATTTATTTGAGAAATATAATAGTGTAGGTAAATAATTAAAATGTAATTAACTTAAATATCATTTGATTGTAATTTAAAGGTTTTTTGGTACTTTATCCATCCAAGACTTATTTGAAGTTTAAAATACAATTTTATAAACATAAAAATAAGTTTTTAATTTATTTAAATTAAACTATTGACTACACTATGAAATTATATCATGTTAAAATTAATAGGGTTAGATGAGATTGAAATATTGAAGATTTTTGAATGATAAAACAATACTCATTTAAATTTTACAATTACTAATATATAAAAGAAAGAGTGATAAAATTTAAATCAAAATTGAACATAAATTAATTGACTTTTTATTTGACATTGATTCCTTAATTAATTGGAATTATGTTGATATGAGTTATGATGATTTTAAATTTATGGCATAAGTAGATCAATTATTTAGATAGTCGGTGTTATAAGAAAATTAATAATTTTTAGTTTGATTTGTTTTTGCAATAATGGCAAAAGCTATATACGGTTATTACTCGATTATTTATTTTAAAAAAAAATTTTATAAAAAAAAATATGATTAATTATCACAGTATCAAAAATAATGAAAAAATATTTAAGTTTAAAAGTAATGACATAACAACTATTGAGGTGAATTAATGATGGATATGATAAATGAATTGATAAAGATTGATTATTAATTTAAGAATTTTGTTATGCAAAACAAACAGCTTAGAATCTATTATTTTTAGATAAGACAATAATTTTGACTCTTTTCAGATAGGGATAAAAATTGTTCATTTGAAAAAACTTTTTAAAGTTGTGAGTTCGAAATGGATCAATAATTATTTAATGTATCTCAGTCATTAAGATGATATGACATGATTTTATATCAAAAGTAATAAATGAGTTTAAGAATTCTTAAATTAGTCAAGACATAATGAATACAAAATTATCTTATCTTAAATTTGACTCATTTTTGTAAAGGTTTGATGTATAATTAAATTATAATGGATTTAATAGGTTCGTATAAATAAAGTTCTTTAACCATTAGATGAATCAGAAGATTTATTATAAGATCGAATGTTAGTATATGATCTAATTTATTTTTAAATTAGGTTACTCAATTCTTTTAGAATAATATTTAATGGAAGAATCAATAATAGCATATAGAAGAATGAGATATCAATATGATAAGATAAAGAGATTGCTTCTCAAGAATGATTTCTATTTTTGATATAAAAAATCAATCAGAATCGCTCTTCAGAAGTAATTTGTCATCGGTCAAATGACGAGCATATAGCCAATTACAAAATCCAAGTACTATTTTGATCATTACCTCTCTCAAATTTGATACTCTAGATAAATGTACTATGTAATTTCGATTTGATAATTATTGGATACTTTAGAGTACTTTATCCAATTGAGAACAAATTAACTAGTTAGCTTTTTCAACTAATCCACTAGTTGTACAATCTGGAAAATCGAGCAGAAGTTTTCGAAAGGAATACACAAAGAGAAAGATCAGTTTCATCTATTCATAACTAAGGACTCCTTTGACTTCGTGAATAAACCTTATAAATGCATCTTGGGGAGTAGTTACATCAGTAAGTTGTGTAGATTTCAATAGTTCATTATAGTAATCCAATTTGATATATTTATTGTCGGTCTCCATTATTTATAACTACACTTCCCACATAATTAGATCGTATATATCTTGATTACTCAAAGAAGCCTGTGGTTTATCTTCCTCTTTACCTAAGGCATTGGCAAGTGTGGCAAAGATGTCTTAAGTTTGTGACTCTGAAAATGTTGATTCTAACCTCTGTTCATCCAGGTTCTTCAAAGATTACTACAGTATTAAGTAATNTAATGACATAACAACTATTGAGGTGAATTAATGATGGATATGATAAATGAATTGATAAAGATTGATTATTAATTTAAGAATTTTGTTATGCAAAACAAACAGCTTAGAATCTATTATTTTTAGATAAGACAATAATTTTGACTCTTTTCAGATAGGGATAAAAATTGTTCATTTGAAAAAACTTTTTAAAGTTGTGAGTTCGAAATGGATCAATAATTATTTAATGTATCTCAGTCATTAAGATGATATGACATGATTTTATATCAAAAGTAATAAATGAGTTTAAGAATTCTTAAATTAGTCAAGACATAATGAATACAAAATTATCTTATCTTAAATTTGACTCATTTTTGTAAAGGTTTGATGTATAATTAAATTATAATGGATTTAATAGGTTCGTATAAATAAAGTTCTTTAACCATTAGATGAATCAGAAGATTTATTATAAGATCGAATGTTAGTATATGATCTAATTTATTTTTAAATTAGGTTACTCAATTCTTTTAGAATAATATTTAATGGAAGAATCAATAATAGCATATAGAAGAATGAGATATCAATATGATAAGATAAAGAGATTGCTTCTCAAGAATGATTTCTATTTTTGATATAAAAAATCAATCAGAATCGCTCTTCAGAAGTAATTTGTCATCGGTCAAATGACGAGCATATAGCCAATTACAAAATCCAAGTACTATTTTGATCATTACCTCTCTCAAATTTGATACTCTAGATAAATGTACTATGTAATTTCGATTTGATAATTATTGGATACTTTAGAGTACTTTATCCAATTGAGAACAAATTAACTAGTTAGCTTTTTCAACTAATCCACTAGTTGTACAATCTGGAAAATCGAGCAGAAGTTTTCGAAAGGAATACACAAAGAGAAAGATCAGTTTCATCTATTCATAACTAAGGACTCCTTTGACTTCGTGAATAAACCTTATAAATGCATCTTGGGGAGTAGTTACATCAGTAAGTTGTGTAGATTTCAATAGTTCATTATAGTAATCCAATTTGATATATTTATTGTCGGTCTCCATTATTTATAACTACACTTCCCACATAATTAGATCGTATATATCTTGATTACTCAAAGAAGCCTGTGGTTTATCTTCCTCTTTACCTAAGGCATTGGCAAGTGTGGCAAAGATGTCTTAAGTTTGTGACTCTGAAAATGTTGATTCTAACCTCTGTTCATCCAGGTTCTTCAAAGATTACTACAGTATTAAGTAATTTGAAAACCCTATTATGTTTCTACTTCATGTGGGTGTAGAGGGCAGGATAACTCAAGTATGACTTCCCACACTCGCACTTGTATTCACGTTAAGCATCACTTTACTTACGAGTTCTGGATCTCTTTTTTTTCTCTCCACCATCAACTGGCTTCTTAGGAGAATATGATTCTTGGACACTTGAATTTGTATTCGATTTAACTTGCATATTAATTAATGAAGAATGTAAATTAGAGAACTTTAAATAAAGAAAAGAAAAAGAAAAGGAAGTTCAACAAAAATATATGTAAAATCTTTGTCTAATAAATTTATAATATCAGCAACAGCTCTAATAATCAAATCTTGATATAATACCTCAGTTTTAGATTTTTCTTTTGGTTAAAGGGGCTTTAAATTGAGATTATTTATCTCATCATTAGCTTACATCTTAGAAAGAGTTTAAATGATTCTCTAAGCTAAATTTTGGAATGCTTCATTGATATTCATGCCACTCTTAGCTGAAGTCTCAAAGAATGGAATATTGTATTGCTATGATAACTTATTGCCTTCTTCTAATGTGACCTATCTTTCTGCAGACATGTCAGCCTTGTTACCTACCAAAACCAATTGCACATCACTTGAATTTGTATTCTCTTGTATTGACTTATTATAATTTAATTTATCTTACCCTTAACCATCCATCCACATTCTAAAATGATTATCTATCTATTACACTATATGTTAAGATCACCTACAATTTAATAATTATTTCTACTCCTTATGCTCCCTTATAATATGTTTTTGTTATATTTCTGAATCGTTCCTATCCTGCAGTATCCCAAATTTATAATTTCAGCTTCTTACCATCTACATCAATGGTCTTGATCTTAAAGTCTACTCCCAAAGTGGCCATATGAGTAATCGAAAACTTCGCATCACAAAATTAAGACAAGATATTTGTCTTACCAACTCCTGAATCACCAATCACAATAACCTTAACCAACCAATCATAATCTTATGAATTTCCTTGTCTGCTCATCAGAATTGAATATTTTAAATTTTAATTATTATCAAACAAATTCATACATTCAATCCTATATCATCATTCTATTAAGAATTTTATTCATTTATAATAAATTTAATTTAATTCTACCCTCAAAACAACCTTAATCCTCTCACTTATCAATTCTTATAATATTTATATATATTGAATTCTCAAATATCTACTTTATAGAAATTATATTAAAATAGGTTAACTATAAAATTCCTACAATTTAATGATAATAATCATTACTTGAGAAAAACAATTATAAATCTATGAAGTATATTATTATATTAATTATCTTTCAACAATAAAAGATCCTTGTTGATACATTAAAATGAGAACTATCTTTTATTTTTATTAATCAAACTAATTATTTAATCATAATTATCTAAATAGCATGTGATGATGCATGTTGATATTCATTTTATTAAAATAAATGTTTACTTAAATAATCTAATATAATCTAATAAGGAAATTTAACATATACTTATTTATCACAATAAAAATAAATAAACTAATAAAAAAAATACTATTATGATAAATATTATTAACACATAATTATTAGGTACTTATTGTTACTTTTTACTGGGTTTTATACCTATCAATTATGATTAAATAATTTATTACCTATTATTACACCAACTTATAGCTCACACATTATTTAATAAGCCTTTTAAGAATGATTAATTTTTTGAAAGACTTCAGATGCATCATCCCCTGCTTTATCTAATAATAAATTCATTCCTCCAGGATGATGATCCAAGAACTCAGTAACATCATAGACATCATCTTTAATTACTATCCAAGCATCATCCTTTGTGTTATGAGATGCCAATTCTTCCCAAGTAATTGATTTGTATGGATTCTTAATCTGTATTTGAATTTACTCTTACTCTCTATTTTCTCTTCTTTAGTAACTAATAATAATTTTCAGGTTGTGGTTCATTTGTCAATTATCCAACTACTCTAGAAACAAGAATTGATCTAGCATAATTGGAATGATTATATTCTAAGAATTATTCTGTTGCATCCATGGCTCCACATTTTCTTAAGATTTCCTCTCCACCTGGGTGTTTATCCAAATAAGTAGTCACATCATAAACCATACCTTCTATTACAACCCATAATGAAGATCGTTTAAAGTGTTTTATTAATTCTTTCCATGTAATTATGGGATAATCTGAACTCATCAAATTATAAAATTATGTTTTTTTTTAATAAAAAGACTTCCTATATCAATTAAATAGTGAATCGTTTAATTACTTTCTTAGATAAGATGATTAAAAATAAAAGAGATTTTTGTTTTATTATTTTAATAACACTCAAATAATCTTATATTTTTTTATTATGAGAGAAATTTAGATTAAAATGAATATTGAAGTAGATAAAATTGGATTTTTTATTTTATCCTTTGGGTAGAAAATATGCTTAAGATGAACAGGACTTAAAGTACTTAGTAATGATAATATAGAAAAGTATTTTCAAATTGACAAAAGATGTATTCATTTTAGCTTTTAGCTATTTTAATTTGACTTAGAATATATCAAATATTAAGCTTAGGTTATATTTTAAATGAAATTAATTTCAATATATCAGAAAACAATAAATGTATATAAAAAATAGTCAAAATATAAACCACTATATATTTTCACAAAATATGAATTCGAGAATTCTTGTTAATTTCAATTTAAAAAAAATAAATTTATGAATTTCCTTAAACTTAATAATGAAATAATATATTTTGAATAATAAGAAATAATAAATCAAAGTAATTTTGGTCTTGAAGATTCCAATAACAATCATATTTAAGTAGTTGATATTTAAGATAAAAAAATGAGATTATAATAATATTAAAATTGAATAAAATATATCATTCTAAGTCATTCAAAATTATATTTATAATAATGAACAAATAATCAATACTTAAAGAAATATTTATAGTATCGTGCAATCTTTAAAAAATAAATTTATTAAAAAATTGAAGTAATTTTAGATATTAATTAATTTAAGTACTTCTAAATTCTTCTTAATTCTTTTTACAGAATTTAGTTAATGAACAATAAAAATTAATGAATTGGTTATTCATTTAATATGTAAAACTTCTATGTAATCTAAAAATTGAATATTTATCCACAAATATCACATTAAAAATAAATAAAAATTATCTTTAGTTTGATTGAAATATATTAATAAATTATTTTACAAATAATAAGGATGAATTCAAAATACTTAATAACAAGTCTATAAAGGAGCATCTGTTATTTATTTTATTGTCTACTATAATTGATTATATCTACAATGCTCCTGGCGTATGTAAGAACAGAAATCAATTTAATACATATTAGGTCTTTCTTGATGATTAAAAGTAAGAGCTTATTTGATATATCAAGAGTCTAGAGAAACCATTTGTTTTAATTTTAGAAGGATTATTGACTTTGACAATTTGTACTGATATTGCTTTGAAAGTTATCACAGAAGGACTAGTATTATAATTTATTATTTTATATTTTAACACTAATCAAAGGTATTCTTCACATCAGCTTGGAATATTTTAGATTTAAGTGCATTTTTATCAATCATAGCTTGTATAAGAATGCAATAAGAAGTATATTATGATGAACTTTTTGGGATTTCACTTATTTCAATGCGTTATTTGTCACTTACTGTTCGTTTAGTAGTTTTGTTAAAATAGTATTATTTATAATTAAATAAATAAGATCTTATGCAATTTAAATGATGCAATAACAAAGTGACATATTGATTTATAAAAAATCTAGAAACCAAGATCTAAGTATCTTAGACATAAGTTCTGAAATTTTGAATGATTCATAGTTCGTGGAAACAATGAAACTTGTTAGTGATTGATATAAACTTAATCAATTTGATTTTATTTTTTAAAATAAGATTTTTTAAACAAATAACTTGCATTTCTTTTAGATTAAAATAAATTAATAAACCAAAATCACATTATAATTTCTGATGTACTCTTATCCCCATTTCTTTAAACCCACCTATAACCCATATCCATACATGTAAATGGATTACTAGACAATATAATATTAACTTTACCTTCAATATCAAAACTAATACCCTCAATTCAGACCAGCACCATACCAATAAACACAATAACCTGTTTAACAATAAAATTATATAACTATTTCTGATGATGAAGACAAAGTACCCAAAAAAGAAATCATTAAACCTACTCCTAAAGAATAAATTCAAAGTGTTTAAACTTTAAAACATATTACTAAAATGCTGGACATAGATTAATTGGAGGCTTCAGGCAAACTTTATGATTGTGAAAGTTCACCTCCTCCTCCATTACCTAAACGTATTATTTAAAAACCAAAAAAACTTATACAAAAGCAAGAGAAAAAAAGAAAGAATAAAATTAAACGATACCCTGTAAAAAGACCAATTCGATGCATCAAATAAGTTTAAATAAGTAAAGACAGATAATAGCTTCTATTCCCACAATCCAGTATTAAAGTCCGATTAATTAAAGTTTATGAGAGAAATGATGATTAATGTAAGTAGCATACTATAATTAATTATAGTTTTGAAACTCTATGAAAAATTAAAACTTAATTTTCCTTAAGCAAATGATGAAGATGTTGTCATATTACTTAATATTTGTAATAAAGATTATTTAAAAGCTGAGTCCCTTATACAAGAAAGTGGATAATTCATCTCATACTACCTTAATTGTAATATCTTAATCTTATATATATATAGCATAAAAGGATCAACAAATTGATGAAACTACTTAAAGAAAATGAATTCTAAATAAAAATATATATATTAATTAAATATTATAAAATTATGGTAATAATTCATTTATCTAGAACTTCTAAAATTAGTAAGTCATATTCAAATTTTATCTTATACTTTCCTCCTTAAAATTCAAATTCAAAAATATTTAATAAATATGTCTAAGTATTAAATAAATTAACTATTTTATGTTTCTTAAGGACAAACCAAAATACTTCATCTTTATTAAAGCAATTTAATTTTATTTATAATTTCTATTGTTTTGATAATTCATTTATAATCTTCAAAATTTGATTTACATTATTCTTAATTAATTTATTATGATCAAAATTTAAAAATACTCACTAGACTCTTAATAGAGATTTAAGTTTTAATTTAAATCAAGATTCAAAGGACTATTTATTAAATTTGACAATTATATTTATAAATGATTCATTATCTATATATATAAATTGCCATTAAGTTGTAAATATTTGTATGTAACAAACTAATAATGATTTAACTATTCAACTTAAAAAATTAACATATATTAATTAATTAATTCATGATCTTAACTAAATTGAAATCCCTCAATTTTTGGTACATTAATAGAAATTGGACTATTAAAAACCAAATTTTAATGGCTTCCTTCTTAATATGGACAATTATTTTTACAATTTTGATTGTAACAATCACATAAACTCAAAAATATATTTAGGATAATCTAAAATCAATATCAAATGAAATATTTATTAAATAAACCTCATAATAGCTTGATAACATCTGGATTTACAAAAAAAGCATGGAAAGAATGTTTTAATTCACTAGAAATTAGATTTATTCAACTAGAAGAATTTATAAATACTTTGATTATTTAGAAAATCATTCTTAAGAAAATCATTCTTAAGAAAATTTATATTTTGAAAAGCCTCATATGTGTTTAAACAATTAATCAGAAGTTGATTCTTATTGTTTCAAATCTGCTACTACATGTGGAATATTTGGTGTTCCATTAAATAATAATAATTTAGAGAGAGAAGAAAGAAGTATGATTGCATTAACATTTATTCTTACTTCATTTAGAATTGCTCTTGATCACACATATTCTGCTCCTCTCTATTACTTTCTTGATAGCAATTCACTATTTTATTGTATTACAACTGGAATACCTTTTCCTAAAAACTTCATACCAAATTAAAGATCTTATTATATTGAATTTAAATAAAAAATATCAAATGATTCAATTTTGGATAATGTTTATTTTGCAAGTCCATATCAAGTAGTATCAGGTATGATTAAAATACCTATGATGATTTCTTTAGTTGATAATAAAGATAATATAGTAGGTATCATTGCTAAAGATATAGATTTTGGATATGCATCAGTTGCATCTAATTTTAATACTAATACTACACTCTATGTAATAGATAATTAGGGCAAAATATTTTATTCACTACTTTATAATTAGGTGAATTTATCAGTTTATTATTTTAATGATTCCAACATTACTGGATTCGATACAAATGATTTTATTTAAGTTATGAATAATCATAATGGACTACCTTTTCAAAACAATTGTCTTAATTAATAAAACAATAAAATTCTTTGCAGATACAATTCAAAGGTTAAGGATAATTTAATAATAAAATCAACTTAATTAGCCAATTCTCCACTTATCTTAATTGTTCTTATTGAAACTAATACAGTTTAATAATAGAGTAATGATCACTTTAATCTACAAAAAGAATTGCAAGCAATAGCAGTCTAAGAAACAATAATCATAATATTTTGTATACCAATAGCAATTATTCTAATATCATAAACAATAATTTATTTATTACTAAAACAATTGAATTTGCTAATTAATTTAGTTAAGTAAAAAGTGTACTAAAATAAAAAAGAGTATTATTTTTCATTTCTTAATAAAAAAAGTCTTTTTCAATCAGAATCTGTATCTGACTTGATAATTGCATCGAATAAACTATTTACTTCTATAATAAGTGCTAATAAATCTGATGAATGTAAATAATAAGAAACTATTAAATATCCATAATATTTATGTTCGCATTAAAGAATGAAAGCTCGATTAACATATATGATTAGGTTTTATTATGATTAACTAAAAGATAAATTAAAAGTTAAAGGATTTGAATTCAAAAAAATCATAAACTTTTAAAACTTAAATTGATTATTCTTTTTCATATATGATCTTATATTTATTATATCAATATATACATTTTTCTAATAAAATTTTTGTGTTAATTAATTTCATAATAAAATATGTGATCTAAATAATAATCAATTTATATATTTCAATATATATTAATAAAGGAATTCTCAAACACTTCAAACAACAGGAATACAGTAGAATGAATAGTATAGAAATGAATAAATGGATAGACTTTTTACTTAAAATAAAAATAATCATTTATAGATGATTAAATTTAATATTATATTAATAAAAATTAAAAAAATTATAGCATGAAAAGAATTCAGAATAATCAATTTTATTATATTACAAAAATTATTTAATTTTTTTTTCTATCACTAAGAATACTATTTCTTTATTAATAAAACTTTACTAGTTATGATCTTTAGAAGTAGAAAAAAACAAAGTAAATTTTTTAATAATGATCAATGTTTTTTAATACAAAAAAAAGACAATAACAAATTTAAGAAATAAGTTATATTGATTTTATATACTCTGTTATCATGATCCAACATAATTTATCATCTTAATATGATATGCTATATAATTATTATCTAAATTTCTACATTTACTTTAATTCAAATAATAGTGTATAATTAAAGTGATCTCAAGTTTAGTAAAGTAATAGCATAAATATTTACTTATGAAAGATTTCATAATATGAGCATTTAAATTTTTTAATATGATTTTAAATAATATAAAAATTCTAAACAATTTAATTAATGATTAAGACAGTCTTAGTGAACATACCTTCATATATTGAAGACTCAAATTATAGATACAAGATGCCAAAACCTTAACTTAAAATTGAAGGTAGAGGAAATGGTATAAAGACTAACATAATGAATTTACATGAGATAGCTAAAGCTTTAAATTGTCATGATCAATGTTTTGACATTTATTTAACTTAGATCCTTTAAAATATTTGGGATTCGAGTTTGGTTCCTAAACATCTTATAAATTTAAAAATGACAATGATGTGACTTGTATTATAAATGGCGCGTTTTAAGATGATTAAATAAGAAAATAATTGGATAAATTTATTGAGAAATATATTCTTTGTTAAAAATGTAGATATCCAGAGATGTATATGAAAATCAAAGGAGGTAAAATAATTTATGGATAATGTGATTCATGTGGACATGTTAGTGATTTGGATAATACTCATAGATTAGCAAGTTATATTTTAAAGAATCCTCCTGGTGGAAATTAATCAATAAAGAATGGTTAGGATGAAGTTTAGATGATTAATAGTGAAGGATAAAGTGGAAATAAAGAGGATAAATAAAAAAAGAAGAAAGTTTTGGCTGCAGAAGTTGGATTAGATTCTGAATTATTAGAAACATTTTTAGTTCAATTGAGAGACACTTATAATAGATTAGTTGTAAATGATAAAATAGATAATGATGTTGCTGATATGATGATTACTTAAGATATAAAAAAATTCAATCTGGATAGACATCTTAAAGATAGAGTTTGTTATTTGATTTTTTAGAGTATGTTTGATGAAAACCCAACAAAAGGTTTTGAAAGAAATTATGATTTATTAACAACATATTTTAATGATCTTGATCCTTAATTAGCTTAGTGTCATATGATTTTAAATATCTAATATTTGATGAAGAAAAGAAATATTGATGATAAATATTTTGGAACAGTATTAAAAGGATTTTATGATTATTCATATATAGATGAGAAATATTTAATTAAATGGTTTGAGAATTCTGAAGAATGGAAAAATGAAGCAAATCAAGATTTCTTGTTTAATGAATAATTAGATAATCATTATAGATAATTAAGTGAACCTATGATTAATTGGATGAAGTACAATATATAATATTATCAATTTTTAGATCTTAAGCAGGATAAGAGGAAGAATATTATGAAGAAGAACCTGAAGGTGAATAAGTAGTTGAATAATAATGACACATCAACGATGTTCATTTATTATTGTATAAAAATCATAATAAACTCCATTTAATATCAAATCTTTATTTCTTATTTCATGGTTCTGAAATAGTATTATTTCTTTGAAAAGTTATTGAATTATATACAAGTTATAATATATTATATAATAATAATAAAAAATTAAGTAATTATTATTAATTAAATTAAAAAAATGGGAACAATGGGGATCGAACCCATGACATTAAGATCTTCAGTCTTACGCTCTCCCAACTGAGCTATACTCCCAAAGTTAAATATTATTATGTATTTCTCCTAATGAAGTAGTCAAGCATAATTATTTAAATTATTTTCCACTTATAAAATATTAATATGTCTATATTACTATTATATATATATAAATCATTAATTATAATTAAAAAATACTCATTAATTAAAACAAAATAAATATGTTATTAATATCAGTTATTATTTTTGAAAAATACAATTATCTTATTTTATTCAATCAACCTTTATAGATTATTTACTTTAATCTTTTGATATAGTGTGACTGAGTTTAGGATTGTTTTTTGAAAATTATTTATTTAGATTATCATCAAATGAATCAACATAGAAACTATTTGGACTCCAAATTTATGGTTAAGAATATTTATGCATTTCACTAATAAATATATAATATATACGTATAACTTAAAATTTATGAAGGATGATTATCAAAATATCCAGGTGAATAATTATTAGGTACAAAGATCTTTAAAGCTTTGAGTCTATTTTATTAATTTATTTTTTTTTGCAAACCAGTTTGAGAATCTAATAGTATTTTATATCTTTATTCAGATAGTTATGTATTGTACTGATTCCAATACTCATTAGATTACTTTTCTTTTTTACTTAATTTGTTTTCAGGAATATCTCCAAAGCATCTTCCATCTAATAGTTAGTTTTTTCCAGTCTTTACTAAAATAATATTATCTCATATTTACTATCTTTTAGACCCTTTTCTAAATTTCTTTAAGGATCAATAATATGTCTTTTAAGGTAATCATCAATCATAGGTTCTTTGCATAAAAATATATCTAAATTCTTTCCTAAGGTTTGCCCTTACAATTTACTTTATGAATTGAAAACTAAACTTGATTAGATATAACACCTTTTCTTTCGATGATTTTAAATTTCTCTAATTCAGCAATTTCTTTTTGTTTTTTTTTCTTTGTATCCCTGTAACTTAAAATAATATCCTTTTTATGTTATTCATTAGATTATAGAAGTAAATCTTGTATTTCAGACATACGAAGAGGAGGTAAAGAATATTTTTAATCAATTTGATTCATTGTTAACCTCTAGTTGTTTTATTAAAAAGAATATGGCAATATTATTATATATATTATATCAAATGAACACCTAATTACTTCATCAATTTAGACCTTCATAAGTAATTAATCCTAATGGAAATACAAAGAAATTAATACTATTGAATTACATAATATTTGATGAACAATTATGTTATTATTGAAGAAATCAATGAAAAATTATGGTTCAGCAACCTCAATATAATTTAAGTCTTTAATATTTCCATAGTCATATCTATACAAATTATTGTTGTTTGATACCAAATGAAATGTATTGCTAATTGATATCCCCATGAAAAACAATTTATATTGATAAATTCTCAAAATATGATAAAGTAATGGTTGAAGAAATCAATTAAATGTGTGTTTAATGACATATTATTTAAATACATTTAGATTGGGCTTAAAAAATATTGAGAAATAAGAAAGAGATTGAAAATTTTGTATTTTAAAATCAAAAATTTTAAATTCTTTTATACTATTTTTTTGAGAATACTCTATATTTGAATGATTTATATTTGTTGGTACATCAATTTTAAGAGATATACAATCATTACAATAATTATATTAAGAGTACATTAAGTATGCTTGAAGATATTTATACTGAAGGTTTACAAATAATTACAGAAAAATAATAACCAAAATTAAATTTTATTAATACTAACATTCTATACCTTGCAGTTTTTGAACTTTATTATTTATTACACACTTATTCTACTTAAGTCAGTTATGACTTTTTAGATTGGATTATTTAAAATATTATATTAAAAATGCTTTTATTAATTAACAGTAACATTATAATACGTCAGAAAAGTAAGAATTTATTAGTTCTGATTTAACGTATGAATTTTATAAATTAAATCTTAATATCCAAAATTTATATATTATAATGCAAAATCAAGTTGTTTCAAAAGGAATATCAGAAATCTAGAAGTATGCAAAGGCTCTTTCGGGAAACAAAAACTATGTGTAAAAGAAGTTAGCCCAAGATCCCGATTACTTCTCCAAGTTAGCTAAGGGCTAGAGTCCAAAATATCTATTAATCGGATGTTCTGATTCTAGAGCTCCTCCAAATGAATTGACAGAGACAGATCCAGGAGAAATCTTCATCCATCGTAACATAGCTAATGTTGTCAATATCACAGACTTAAATGTAAGTATGTTCCTGTTAACTTTAGTTAAATTGTGTAGTCTAATATGCTGTGGAACATTTGAAAGTCCATAATATCATCATTATGGGTCATACATTTTGTGGAGGAGTAAAGGCAGCTATGAATTAAGATTCTGTAGGTGGTTTACTAGATCTTTGGCTCAATAATATCAAACATGTTTATGAGAAGAATCAACATCTTGTAAATTAATTTGAAGATGAGAATGATAGAGTAGCATGTTTATCATGCTTAAATGTCAGAGAATAAGTCCTTAATATGTGGAAAAATCCAATCGTATAGAAATCTTGGCAAGACGGGCATCGTATTATATTTTTATTAATTTTCTAGCTGTTATGGTACATGGCTGGTTATTCAGAGTAGAAACAGGATATATTGAAGAATTGTAAATTGATGAGAATATACCTGAAAATTTATCGAATGTGTTCAGGTTGCAATTCAAGAATGCTTAATAAGCTGCAAAAAATTAATAATAAGATGACAAAGATGATTAAAAAAATATACCTTCAAATAGTGAAAAATATTAATAAATGCAAAATAAACTAGTAAATGAATTCAGAAAGTTTTCAACTACCTCTTAAGATTCTAATCAAGAGCCTTAGAAGGACATGGTTAGCTAAATTTCTGGTATACTTTAAGATGATCCAAATTTTCAAAGAGAAAATAAATGAAGAATTATTAAATATATATATATAAACATCAATAAAATTATAATCTAATAGAAATTCAATGGCTAAATCCAATAAATGTTTTTCTTGTCCTAATAAAGATGTAGAATATATCTAAATAGAAGATATCTCATTAAGTTATGCATTGTGTTAGGATTGCTTAAAGAAGGCGGAGAAGAATAAAACTATATACTTAAAAATCAAAGATTTTATTATTAAGTAAGAAGAAAAGATCAAGAAGGAATTTCCTAATTTAACTAAGCTATTATAATTCAAATAATATATGGAAAGGGCATTGTAATGGGAAAAATTTATTAACCCTCATTTTGAAGATGCTTTATAATTTATTAGATAGGAAAATTTTACCTAAAAAGGTTTCTAAATTTTAGCAACTTACTTTTAAAAGAAGGGAAAAGATTAAGAGAAGTTGGCTATTTAGATAATAAATTATTTAAATTCCAAAAATTTCTATATATAAAATCCAATTTGGTTGAAAGAGACTAAGCAAAATGAAATGTTTAAAAAAAAATACTATGAATATTTGCAAGATATTATTTAAAAATAATTATTTTAAGAAATAATAAAGGAGATTGAATAAGAAATTGAAAATACATTTTCAAAAATTCCAGAAAATTAAAAATAAATAGGTATTTGTTTAAAAAATGATGATTTCGATTAATAAGAATTAAATAAATATTATGGTTATATAAACTTTATTGATCTCAAAGATGGTAAAGGAATACTAAAAAATAAAGATATACTTTATTTTGGTATTTTTTCTCATGATGAATTTGTATATGGAGTAAAGTTTGAATAGATTTCATCAAAAGAGGGTTAATTCTTTTTTGGATCATTTGTTAAAGAATAAATTGAAGGTTAAGGAAAAATGATAGCATATAAATATGAGAATTAAATCATGTATTAAAAATATGAGGGAGAATATAATAATGGGTTAAGAAAAGGAAAAGGAAAATTTATTTGGTAATATTAAAATAAAATTTTAACTTATGATGGATCTTGGGATCAAAATTTATAACATGGGGATGGCTGTATTTCAGATCAAAATGGTAATAAAAAGAATGTTTAATATGAATAAGGGAAATTAAAGTAAGAAAATAACATTATTAATTAATCATAATTTCCTCCAAACGGATTTTAATAATTCGCATTTGCAAATTAGGTTTAATAACCTCAAACACTATTATCTTAGAATCCAAATTTTCAATTTCAATAAAAATTCCCATTACCATAGAATGAAAAACTTAATGCTCCAATTCTAAATGATTAAACATAAACTTTTGATAATTTAAAATTGAATAACACAATACAATCTATTTCAACTTAATCATCCTTATAATAGACTATAAATTAAACATAATAATCAAGATAGTTTCCAAATAATACACCATTTTAAACATTATAACGAAAATAATCTGCATTTTAACCATTATAGTAAACATAATCACCAAATTAACCTGCATTTTAACCATTATAGTAAACATAATTACCAATTTAACCTGCATTTTAAACATTATAATAAAAATAATCACCAATTTAACCTGCATTTTAACCATTATAATAAACATAATCACCAATTTAACCTGCATTTTAACCATTATAGTAAACATAATAATCTACATTATCAAAATTACAATAAACATAATAATAAATTGAATAACCATAATAATCAATGATTTAATAATCTTAAAAATTATGTATATAAACAACTCCAGGAAGTTTACAGTAATTTTAAAATTATAATAATAATAATAATAATAATAATAATAATAATAATAATAATAATGGAAAATTTAAAACAGATACTCGATTCACTACTATTTCTTAACCAGCTTAATAATAGATATAGAATCCCCCATAAATGTAAAAGTTGACTACTTTGCAAATCGGAAATAAGTTTTAAGAACAGTAATTTTCTTTGAACCCAGGAATTTAATAAAATCAATCTAATATTTCATTTCAACCATAAAAAAGTGCTGCAACAAATGTAAGATAAACTATTGGTAGTATATCAAATAGTTAAACTCTAAATTATTGATAATATTTTTAGAGTTTATAAACACAAAAAGTGATAGATTAATTTAATTATAAAAATTTCATAAATTTAAGCCTTTGCCAATTAATTCTAATAATTATGTATCGATAAGTATAAGTATTTCTTCGTAAAATAAATTAAAATACATATTTATATCTTTAAATCTAAATATGGATTTAAACAAATAACTGATTGATAAAGTTATTAGAAAGTATTATGATCGAAATTTAAATCCAAAACTTATTTTATTTATTTCCACTTTTGTTATCAGATTAATTATTATCTATGATTTGCTTTTCTTTCTTATAAATTTCCAAATAAAATCCTCTGCATGTTTAATATCATTCTTGGTGATAGTCAATATTTACATTTATTCGAAACTTATTTAGTACCTACTCCAAATTGCTCTATTGAATTTATCAGGATACGTAGACATTAATTTATCATAAATTCTTTTAAGATGCACATTTTGATTTTTAGAGATACAAAAAATTTAATAATAATATAATTCTTATGTAAACTTAATTATTCCTTATTGTGACATTTTTATTATTTTATAAATAACATAATTGAAAAAAAAAGCAATATCTCCTTCAAATATTATCTATTTTAAAATTGCTTCTCTAGTTTTTTATTCACTCAATATTAATTTATTATTTCAATCCCTATAAAATTATTATATCAAATAAATACTTTCTCATAATTAATATAATCGATGGATTGTTTCTCATCATTTCCTTAGGTTAATTGATTAATTTATGTTTCTAAAGGTATCTATTCAGGTGAATTCAAATATCCAATAACCAAATTCATTTCTAAGTATAATTCATTAAGATTTTCAGAACGTAACAACTCATTTTTCTCCTTCATTAATTAATTTAAGCTTCTTATATCTTTATAATATCATAATTGAAAATTTATTCCCAAGTATATCTATCATAAAAATATTAAATTAATATATATCCTTACTTTTTCTTGTACTACCAAAATATGTTGTAATAGTTGTTTGATTTTATTATTCCTCAATTGAGTATCTGGAATCACTAATATAGTTTTCTTGATAATCTATAGTAAATTCTACTATTTAAAGACTTCTTTTCTCAATATTATACAATTTTTGTACTTCCTTCTTCTCAAAAATGAAGTATCAATAAATTAATAATTAACTCCAGTATCAATAAAGAATTTTACTATTATAAGATTGATTTCAATTCTATTGTTTTCAATTTAAAATGATTAGTAAATTTAATTTTGTTTTAATTACTTAAATATGAAAGTGAAATTTTTAATCTGATTCAATTTATTAGATAATTAGTATGATATAAATACATAATTAGATTTTACAAAGTTTTATTTAATAAATAATTATATATTTTACTAAATCTCTTGAAATATATTATTTTTAATAATTTATTAATAAAGGTAAAAGATATTAATTACATATAAATAAATAGATGAATAATTTTAGATCATTCAATTGTTGTTATTTTATGAATAAGATCTTCAATATAGTGGATTACAGATTTACTTAATTAATCTTCAATTAAATTGTTTGAAGTCAAAGGAATTTTTATCCATAGATTTTATAATAACCTCTCTTTAAATGATATTTTTATTAGTTTTCTTGATGCATATCTATAAGTGATGTATAGTTCAACTTTTCTAATCATTTCAATAGTGGCTGTGTTGATTCTAAAAAAACATCATTATGAAGTTATCTTAATTTAAGAATTCTAAGATTTTATGTGACTTGTGACTTTAAAGTATTAATACTTAAATATTCATGTTTAATATCCTCTTATTTCTTATATCAAGCATAAATTTAGCTTCAGCTGATACATAGAAACCCCTCTTACTCTTCGCATTTCGCATTCTTTTCCCCTAATGTTTTTCTTATTTATTGGCAGCTAGTCTATAAGTTTTTCTTTTATTAATTAGTGCTTTCAATTTAGAAATTAGTGCTTTCAATTTAGAGTCTGTTGATTATCAATAGGCAATATTTTCAGGCATTTTTAATCCTAGAATTAGGATCAAATTTACTCCACTTAGATTTATAGGTTGATATTATATTTAAAAGAAATATAAATTCAATAATTTTGAAATAAAAAATTCAATGATTAGTATTTCATTTATTGATTTTTGTAAATTTGAAAGAAAATGATTATATTTATTATTTAATTGCAATGTATGAATAAAATTTTACACTTGTCATTAATTATATGATATTTGTATAAAAATTAATAATAGTAATATAATTTATATCCTCACTTACATGTTTGAAGAATATTATGAGAAATATCTAATTATGGGATCAAATGTACCAGAAGCTCAAAGACAAAAATTGAACTTTTTGATATTTTCAATAAAGAATCAATAAAATAATGAAATTGAAATAAATCCTGAAAATTATCCTGATCTTGAAGTGGATGAAATTTAAGGATTGTTTAATTTACCAGTTGAGGCTTAAAAGAGCATGTTCTGTTCAGTTTTTAAAAGTTTAGAGTTGGAAGATGATTCAAAGATAATAGGTGAATTACATGTGAAGGGTGAGACACTAGGAATATGGAGAACAAAAAAGTTAGAATTGAATTTAACTCATAAAAAGTTAATTGTACCTAGAAAAGAAGGTAATATAGAAATGTAATTATCAAAATATGGAATAATGTGGGTTGGTTAGAAGAAAAGTAAAAGTTTACATTACTGTTTTATTTTAATAGCACATAATTAAGCAATATTTGATCATTATAAGTAATTGATAATGGGATCTGATGATGAAGAATATGCTAAAAAATGGTTTAATCTTTTGAGTCCAATCTGTGATACAAAACCTATATAACCAAGAAGGATGAGTGTTGAATTTACAAAATAAACAGTTTCTAATTCACCATTAAATAGATCTGATCAATTAGATTTGAGTAAAAGTGATAATCATAATAATAATAATTGGTTAGAATTTAAATCATCCAATAATAATAATAATAAAGATATGTAAAGGATTTCAGAATAACCTGAATCTCCAGATAATTTAAAAAAGACTTAATAAGATATCCATACTAATTTGAATTAAGAAGAAAAACCCTATTTTCAAGTCTTCAATCCATAAATTGAATAACCTCCTAAAGTTCCTGCATATTTACATGATATGACAGTAGATAAATTTAAGTAAGGAGAATTTTATAGAGTAGGAAACAATGTTTATAAGAGTATTTCAAAGAAAGGATTATACTAAATTCAAATCATTTTAGAATATGATATTGAAGTAATTAAACATTTTCTGTATGAAGATAATAGGTTTAATAAATACATAACAAATGAATGGATAATGTTTGATTATTAAGATTATAAGGTTGTAGAACAAATAAGAATTAAATCAATATTTGGTTATTAGAGAGAAACATAATTATATATTATGAGATATAAGACATCTGATTGTATTATAGAAAAATAACTTAATTCAGTAAATCCAAATTATTCTATAGCTAAATTATTCAGGAAATAAATTTAAAAATATTCTTTTAATGAACTTTAGAAAAGAAATTAAAGTTATTCAACTGATTTGATACCTCAATAAACAATAATTCAGATTATTTGTTAACTTAATGATAATCCCTTTTTTGATTCTTAAAATATATCATTTATGGAATAATATAATTTTTTAGCAGATCATATTGATTACGTCATAAATTTTAGAGATCTACATTTTGAATAATAATAATAATTATAAACAGCTATGACTTTGTCAAATCATTCAGAGGATCTATTTGTTGAAAAATTCAATTAATCAATAGAATTAGATAACAAGATACCTAATAATTTAATGGAACTTTTAGAATTTGTTTAATAAAATAAACATTGGAATGTTTGTTTAAATAAGGAATTTTAAATGGAACCTATAAAAGTAGAACCAAAATTCTTGAAATCTACATCAGAGGGACATTTCTTATTAAAAAATTATTGGAAAGTAGATTAAAATTAAGGTGGTTTGCTATATGTTGATTAGATTGGATTAAGAGAATAAAAAAAAGTATTTTCTTACTTACTGTCATAAATAGGATCAAATATAGCTTCTGGAAAGTCTATAATGAATATTAGTCTACCTGTTTATGTCTTTGAAAAATAAAGTAATCTTTAGAGATATGCTAATTCACTTACTTACTTATAATATTTAGATGAAGCAGTCTAAAAGGATTATCTATTTTAATTTAAAAACTTCTTACCCTATGGATATGGTACAATTATCTTATATTTAAATATGTGGAAACCATTTAATCCTATTCTTGGAGAAACATACTCAGGATTTATAAATGGTTGTCCTATTTATGCAGAATAAGTATCACATCATCCACCAATAAGCAATTTATTAATTTATGGAAAAGGATATAGGTAATGAAATAAATTATGATATTTAGAGTGAATCATCGTTTATGTACTATAGCAAGTATTTCAGCTAATTCTGTAAGTGGAATTAATTAAGGATATACAAAAGTGTATTTTTATGAATCTAAAAATGAACTTATATTTTTACCTTGTTCTGGATTATATACTGGAACATTGTATGGTGATAAACTATTTTAGATGGTAGGAAAATTTCATGTTATTAATTTGAAACACAAATTAGTAGCAGAAATCAAATTGAATCCTTATCCAGGTTCAATTTGGAAAAAAAGAAGAGAACATTTAGATGATTATTATGAAGGTTTTATATATGAAGTGAATGATGAATTTATAAAGAGATTCTAAAAAGATGGATATTTAAAATTTAAAGAATTAAAATAAAATGAAATTATTAGAGAAATATCTAAAATTAATGGAGTATGGCATAAAAATATGTTTATAGATAATTAAGAAATATGGAATATTAATACAGAACCTTATGTATTAGAAGATGAAGAGTATAATATTATTATTAATATATTTAGTCATCCTTTACCATCAGATTCTAATTTTAGAGAAGATTTAATTGCATGGAAGACTGGAAATTTTGATTTAGCTATGAAAATGAAAACTAAATTAGAAGAAGCATAAAGAGCTGATGCTAAATTAAGAAAAAAACATTGAATGAATTTTATTAATAATCTTCTAATACTCATAAAAGTTATTATGGTTTACCAAATAGATTTTCTAATACTTTATAAGGTCCACGTTGATCTACAAACAAATGTAATTTTAAATTATTTCTATTATATTCTCTAATATCAGATACACCAATCATGTTTTTCAAATATTTCTCTAAATCTATCAATTCTCTATCATCTTTATTATCATAAAATGGTAGTATTGGTATTCCATTTTCTATTTGCCATGCATAAGAATAAGATGCATTGTCAATTAAAGCAACTTAACTTAATTATCTATTAGTATTTTCACAAAATAATCTTAAATCTTTAGTATATAAGGAAGTATTAGTTTAAGTACAACTGTCTCTAAATAATCGATGACTAATTATATTAGAATCAGGATCTAAATAATTGCAAACCTAATCAAATATTCTTATTATACCTTTTCTGCATAACTACTATGTGAAGCAGTAAAGATAATTATTTCAAAATAATTGGAGAGATTTTTTAACATTTCTTTTGCATATGGTCTAACATTAATTCCAGCTCTTACTATTTGATGTTTAGAAACATTGATTTCCAAAACAACATCACAAGGAATTGAAGGTGTTTCATTACAATGCACCAATGTTTCATCTAAATCAAAAAACAAAGTGTATTATCCTTATTTTGTTATGAATGCAATATACTTTAATGTTTTTTGGGTAATTTATGAGATTTATTATAGTCATTATTATTTTGAGGAAAAAGTCTACAATTTAATCCTTAATAGGTTTAATGGAAATGTTGACGATACATACGAGAGAAGTAGTCAGAACCATTGGTATCGAAAGCCCTTTATAATTTACTTAGATAGTAGATTTCATTTCTTTTGTTTTAACTCGATGATCTAGGTTTTTATGAAGGACTTGCAATACGAAATGATTATAATCGAGATTGAGGAGTGAGAGAGTATGGTTTAATTTAAGTAGGCATATCAATTTTTGTATCAATAGCAATTACTTTTTTTTTTAATGGTGATGAAATCAATTTAGTCTCAACTCTAGTAACAAATTTATTTAACTCATTATCCATTGATTTTTAATTTCTTTTTTCATTTATTTTATTTTTTAAAGCATCATTATTTAATAATTAAGCTTACCCATAATCTGGTGCTTTCATATTAGCTAAACTCAGAAAATATCCATTTGATTAATCAGAATTTTTAGTTGAAGATGAATAAATTTTATTCTTCTTTAAATCCAAAATCTAAGAATATGCAATGCGATCATGTCTTGAAAACTTATTAGATCCATTCCTAGATAAATTCATTAAAATAATATTTTAAAAAATATTATTATTCTAATTCAAATTGTTCATTCATAATAATATGATATTAATGCAATTTAGTAAATTTCATATAGTCTTTACATAATAATTGTTTTAATTAAATACATACTTCATTTATATTTAAGAGTATGTAATATATTAACTAAGTAATTAAAAATAAATATATTAAATGTTATTTTAAGAACATTGATCTTGAATATTCAATTCTTAATTTAAGAGTTAGTATATGTTCTTGAATTCTAATTTATGATCAATTTATATTATCAAAATAATAAACCATGGGATGTGTATCAACTAAAGATTAACACATTAAACAATTCAATATTAAATTACCTGATTCAAGTACATTACTAGATATCATTATAGTAAATCAAACAACTCTATAAACTGATTTGGATTTATCAGACTCATTAGATTAATATATGTAAATAGGAATGAATCTAAGCAGCATAGGAGAGCTGCATCCTAAAGTTCAACTTGTACATTAAGAATTGGGAGATTTATTCCCTAATCTGCAAGGTCAGTATTTATTGATGCCAGATCAAAGTATTTATTTCGGATAAACATTAAATGGAAAAAGAAATGGTTAAGGAAAACAACATTGGTAGAAGGAAGGAAATTTATTAGAAGGGTATATCTTATATTCTAATATTATAAGGATTTGGATTGATAATCAATTAAATGGAAGAGCCAGAATGATCTATCCAAATGGGGATTAGTATTATATTTAATTGATTTTTGTTTAGTTTCGATGGAAATTTTGTCAATAATGTGGCTAATGGAATAGGCAAATTTGTAAATTCTAGAAAAGAGGTCAAAGGTTTTTGGCTTAATAATAAATTAATTGGAGAAGGAACTGAAATACGTAAAAATGGAACTATTTATACCGGACAATTTTAAGATGGCAAAATTCATGGCCAAGGTAAATTTGAATTCGCTAATGGTTGTGTATATAAGGGTAATGTGTAAAAAGGAAAAATGCATGGGAATGGAGAGCTTATATTTTATGATAACACAAGATATGTTGGTGAATTTAGAAATAATTGTATTTAAGGAAGAGGAATTTATGAAGCCAGTATTCCTATTCATGGTTGGGTAAGAATATTAATTTAAATTTAAGTTTCATTCAAAATATGAAAATTAAACCATATTTCTCTATTTCTTTAGACAAGAAACACCAGTCTTAGTTGACAACCAAGATTGCACTCTAATTTAAAAATAATTAAGTACTTTTTTTGATTGAAAATCAAACTTTTCTTTATTAATTACTTATTTATATAAAAAAAGAAAGAAGAATATATAATCAACTTCTAATATATATATATAGTATATTAATAGAATTTCATGATTTTAATTATAAAATATCTAAGAAGGAATATTATCTATAAAATGAAAAACCACACATTATTTCCTTTATTGATGATACCATTGTGCATAAGGTATTATTATTTATGCACTTATTTTATTAGCGAAGTTTCTGATTCATAATAGTATGTTTGTGAAGACGCTTTAAAGAAATGTAATCTAAATTATGAGGCCCTCAAAATTGATTCCTCTAAAGAAGAGTGTTTATTTAATAACAATGAACCTTATTATGATAATGAACAAATTTTATTTACTCAAATAGAAAATCAATATTAATAACCATCTTCACCAGAATATCTGAATAAAGCTAAAGTATATCAAAATTGTTTATCTTAGAAGGAATTTGAGGATGAACTTTCAGTCATTCAATAATTTTAAAATCTAGAACACTAGGAGAAAGTTGAAACCAACTAAAAAGTATCAGATGGAGAATAATAGAATTAAGCTTAATATGATTAAATTTGTATTCAATATATTGAATAATATATTCAATATATTGAATAATGATTCTAATTTAATTCATCAAAATTATAATATCGTATTGTTAAAATTTATTATTGGTTTAGATTTTTAGTAAAGAATGCTTATATAGAATATATTCAATTATAAAAGGTCTGAAAATACCAATATTACATTATTACTGATATGAAAAATATTATAATTACTTTCAAATATTATTGATGATATATTTGCTACAAAATTTGTTACTTTAAACAATAAATATATAAAATAAAAATCAAGGCAAAATATAAATATAGAAACTCAAAATTTAAATTTAGAAAAAGAGATGAAAAATTTATATTTTATATAAATGACTGGTGATAGCTTAATTTAAAGTTTTATTTATTAAGAAAATTTAATTGGAAAATAGCATTTGAAATATATATATTTATTTATTGATTATATTAAGTTTAATATATTAATCTAATGATTCTTTTACATTTAATTTTCATATTTAGTATGAAGATGATGAGTGTTTTTGGGACCATTAAGATGAATCCTACTAATCAATATTTAAGGAAAATTTTTGATCTGAAAGAGAATGAATATTCAAGTAATAGTTGTATAACATATGGAATTTGGTCAAAGTATAATCCTCTTAGTACAATTACTTAGATAGGAAAATTTGGATTATTTGATAATCATTGCTTTCATTTACATAATGCAATTGATTAGGAATCTAAAAGTTTAAATCTGATTTATTATGACTGTTTAGACTCTGTTTCAAAGAAAATAACAAAGACTCTTCTATTTATTAATAATTCAGATGAATAAAATAGATTTGAAATAATTATTAATCCATTTGATTATGAAAACACTTGGTTTTATTTATAGATTGTAGTATGGCCATTATAGGATATATTTAAATTGATAATTATGAAAAGAATTGAAATATTACTTGAAACAACAAAATAGATGAAATATCCATTTAAAGATAAGAATTTAATATTATCTTTTGGAGGTAATTTTATAGTACGTAATTCAAAGATACATGATTTATAGATAGACCAAATATTTACATATTTTCCAGGTCCTATTATTTTATAAGACTTATAAATTTCAAGTATAAATCTTAATTTTTCATTTATTGATTCTGCAAATAAAGTATATAATTCAATTAAGACTTGTGTTTGTTCACAAAATACTATATTCTTGATTGGAGATATGGATGTTAAGAATTAAGATATGAATACATTTATTTCTGAGAAAATAAATTGTGATTCATTTATATTAGTAGGATGGATTAAAGTTAAGGAAATTGTAAATTCATCTTAGCAACTCACTTATTAACTAATCAAAATATCAGCTAATTTATTAGATCCAATATTTTAAAATCAAAATTTATCACCGTTCTAATTATTTTATCATTTTAGTGCAGGTAAAAATGAAATAGAAATCACTACCTATAGTTATACATTTCCAGATATCTCTATTGATTTTTCGAATAATTCCTTTCTTTTATAGAAAAGATTCTTAATTTAAAATAAAATTAGTTTATGGCATTATATTAAAGTTGAATTATAAAAAAATAAATTTAGTGTGAAAATACTATTTTATGAAGGTAAAACTACTTTTAATTATGATGTAAACTTTGATGTACATTAGTTTTAGAATTGTTAATTTAAAGTATAATATGGAAATATTTTATAAACTAAAACTAATTATTTGAACATATAAATGAGGAATCTAGAGTTTTATAATTGTTATAAAAAACTTACATAATTAAGTTGTCATTATAGTTGTTTAGAATGTGATGGTCCAACAAATCAGGATTGTTTATCTTGTTCAATAGAATCATAAAGAACATATAATCCTGAATATAAAGTTTGCATTTGTCCATTTAATACAATAGATAATCAAAATCAATGTTAATCATACTAATAATCAAATCTAAGATTAATTAAAGTTGAAGATTCAATTATAAGTTAGAAATGTAAATATGGATATTTTGAGATAGATGGAGAATGTGTTAAATGGTATAATTGTTATTAAAACACCTAGTCCTTCAATGATAAAGGAATAATTTATTAGTTGCTTTGAATGCTTAAACAACCCAAAATCATGGTTTGAGTATCCTACTTGCTAAAGAGTCTATGTTATTAAACCTAATATTACTATTGATGAAGCATATGTACCATTCGGTTAAATCCAATATTATTATGATGGAATATAAATTAATCCTATTCATTATACTCATTCATTAGCAACATAAGTTAATTTTCCAAATATTAATGGAATTTTTAAGGAATTTTAACTAGCCTCAATCTATTTTAGATAATTTTGTTAATAAATGGATTTTTAAGAATCTGATTAATTCATTTGTTATGAATGCTTCATTTAAAATTGTTAGGTTTGTTAATTGACATTAACTACTTTAGAATGTATAAAATGTTATAGTAATTATAAATTAATTGATGGTTAGTGTAAATAATAATCTGAAATTAATTAAAAATCTGAATTAATTTGTTTACCACCATTTTATTATTCATTTCAAAAATAATGTAAATTATGTTAAATCAAAAATTGCATATATTGTTTTGAATACTAATTAAATGATTTAAATGTATGTTCATTAGTGAAAGTTGCTGAATTTAAATTAAGATATTTAAGTGATATCTAAATAGGTTGTGCACTTTGTGAAGAAAACTATATATTTGATTTCACTTTAGGGTTATGCTTAAAACAAATACCTGATATTGAAAATTGTTAAAGATCTTATATAAATTTATAAAGTTAAGAGTAATGTGTTTCATCAATGAATGATGACTTTTCTATTGCCCCAGAAATATCTAATTGTTAAAAATATATTCAAAATTGCAATATATGCTCTATTAATATTGAAAAAGAAATTAAATGTGTTATATGCTAAGATAAATATATAATAGAAAATAATAAATGTTATTAAAACGTAGAATTTAATATGGAGGAAAACTTATTTTCAAATTAGAAAAATAAGATATAAAGTTTTATTCTTTAATTTGTACCATATTTGAAACAACAAGTTTACAACACTTTCCTAAATTCATTAAATGTTATTTAAAAATAAACTTGTGATCCTGAATGCATTTTATGTCATTAGACTGGTTCATATTGTAAAATATGTCCATTAAATTATTATAAAAAATATATAATAACAGAGAAAAGCAAATCATGTACCTATTGTCATCCATTATGTGAAACATGTTTAACTCGTTCTGATAAAGATATATAAGTAAGAAAATCAAATATCATCATTAGCTTAATTTTCCAAATTTTATTGTAAATCAGGAAAATTCCATATATACTAAGAAATGCATAAAACCATATTAAGATCCTTCTATATTTTATGATTAATATAATGAAATTGTTAGATATTGTTTTAATTAAGATTGTAAAGATAAATTTATTTTTGATATTTCATATATCTCATGTGATTTTACAAGATTTAATAGAATGTATGAATCCATGATCAATACCTAATATTGTAATTAAATTGGAATTTAATTTTTAACAGTTAATTTCACATTTTTAGTCTCATAAAAATCCTGCTTTCTATTTATACCATTAGATTTCTAGACTTTACTAAAACAAAAAGTATTAACTTTAAAAAGAGTAGAATTCATATTATAATCAAAACAATAATTAGAAATTTCTTTAGCTACAAATAATTCATTCAGAAATTTTGATTAAGTGGAGATTAATAATTTAAGTTTTGTGATTGATGCAGATTAATTCTTCATATTGTAAAATGGTAATAATAAAATTGATTTAATACTTTCAAATTTTACTATTAATTAAAGTATACTTTAGAATATTGATTCCTTATTTATTGCAGAAATATTTGGTAATATTATTTTGAATAATGTTACCATTTAAAATACTACATTTATTAATTCCTCATTATTTAATTTTTAATCATATTAAGTATAAGGAATAATTTAAATAACAAATTTATAAATTTTAAATTGTACTTTTATAGAATCAGCACTATTTAAAATATCAAAAATATAATCTATAATATCTTTAACAAACTTTATTTTAGATTAATCACTCTTAAGAAATTCATCTATCTTTAGTTTTTATATTAGTTATTCCTAATAATAAAGATATCTAAATGCATTTAATATAATTATAAAAAATAGTAATTTCTCTCACTCATATTTTATAAATTGCACAAATTAAATAGAAGTAAGTTTATCTGATTTTCAATTTCATTTAAACTTTTTAGAAGTATCTGTAATTTTATCAATTAGTAATAAAATTTCAATGACTAGGATAAATATATATTAAAATAAATACTCTTTTTCGTAATTCTTATCAATAACTTAAATATTGTTGAAAAATCAATTAATTTGTAGCATTTATAATTTTAAAGCAAATCAAAATCATTTTCAAGCTTCCAATTTAATTTTGATATTTTCAACATTTTCAACAAATTCACTTATTATACATTTTGAAGATTTTACAATAATTGAAAATTATAAATCTTCTAAATAAAATTAAAACATATAACTTTTTTGTGTGAATAGTTAAGAAATTCACATATCACATTTTTTAATTGTTGATAATCATGATTAAGTGATATTTTACTTATCCGAAAATACTTATATATCAATTACAAATATCACATATTATAATACCATCCTTGATTTTAAAATTCCTCTATCCTTAAAATGTTTAATAACCAATAAAACAAATAAATTACTATATATTTTTGGGTTTACTAGTATATAAATTACCAATATACAAATATTTAATATTCTAAGTATTGATGAACCTATAATCTAAATTAATCCAAGTTAACAAAATTTAACATATGTTACTCGTTAGATTTAGATAATTAATGTTACATTTACTAAAAATATCCTCATTTAATCATCTTTAATTAATCTGATTTCTTTATTAATTATAGAATCAGATAAAATGGCAAACATTTTACTATAAAATATTTTATATGAAGAAAACTTTCTGCATTCTTATACTAGTACTGCAATAAGAGAAATAGCCAGTCTTTTGTACATCTCCTCATCCTTAAGTAAATTAAAAATTGAGAATTTAATTTGTACAAATAATGCATTTACTAATTCTTCGAATTCCTTTATTGCAATAATGTCAGCTGATATAATGCTTTTCAATTATACTATTAATAATCACAATTATCTATCTTAATAATTATGGACTAAATATTATGAATTGTAATTCAATCAAAGTCTAAATCAATAAAACTTAAATGAAATTATTTTCTAAATTTTATAGATTAAGAATATTGGAGGAGCAGGATAATTTTCAGTTTAAAGTATGTCTTGTATAAATTGTACATTTTCAAAAATTCTTGCAATGTAAAGCTCTATTTTTGATATTACAACAACTGAACGAGGCTAAATATAACTATTTAATATTACTATAAATTAAATAGAGAATAATTTATTATCAATTGAAAAAGGTTCAGGATGCATTAATATTTATTCATCAAATAGTGCATTGAATCTAAATGTAGTAAATGCACTTTTTACAAATATTTTTAATAGAATTGCTCCTTCTATATTCACTATTATTCCCTCTAAATCATCAAATATTATTTTATTAAAGAATATTTAAATTACAAATTGTATTTCATTGCTCAATTAAATAATAAATGTTTAATTCTCATCATCTAAAGCTAAAGAAAATATAATAACCATAGAAAATATGAGAATCCTTTAAAATTAACAAATTTGGTTGAATTATTTCTTAAAAATTAGAGATTTATTAATCCAGGAAATAACAGATACTATAAATAATTAGAATTCTATGATATCTTTTCAAAATTGTATAATCTATATATAAGATTTTGTTATTGAAGGAATTATTATCAATTCTATTTTTTAATTTACAAATTTACCTAAATTATAGCTTTATAATGTTATTATTGATAATATTTAAATGTTATATTCATTCAAGTTAATTTAAGTAACATAAATATAATAGATTTAATCTATAATTTAAATAGAACATTTAATCATTAAAAATACTTAGCTTTATAAAAATGATGTAAGTTCTTATTAAGATTATATATAAAGAAATTATAATATTAGAGGATGTAACATTATTTAACAATATACTGAAAGTAATTAGAAAGATTATTTTTAGATAATTCTTAATTCTCTTCAATAAAATACTTATTTAGAAAGCTCTCTAATATATTTTTAAAGTATCTCTAATTAAAATGGTTTCTATTTTAAAGATATTACTTTTGAACACAATTATTGTTAATAATGTGATAAGGGGCTGCTTTTTATTGAAATTTCTGATTTCAATTATATTAAATTTTAGAATTTCAATTGTATCTATAATTCAATCAAACAATTTGGATGTTTACTTTTTTCATAATAAACAGATCTTATATCAAAAATCTAAATTATTAATTCCAATTTCCTTTTTAATAATGGAAGTCAAGGTGTTGCTATAACTGCTTTAAGAACTAATCTATAAATTAAATCATGTAAAATAATCAACAATGTTGCAGAATCTTTTGGAGGAGGTTTATATATGTCAGTATAATCTTCTGGTTTTAATATTAAAAAATCTATTATTACCGGAAATACAGCTAGAATAGGAGGGGGTATATATTTGCAAGATGATAGCAATATCAATAATGATAATTTTATAGAATCCTTATTGTATTTCAATAATGCTGAAGAATATGCAAATAATATTAAAGAAATACCAAATCATTTAGCTTTTGTTATCAATTACTTAGAGAACCCATATAAATCTGTTCTATAAAATAATGAATAGATAAATAAATTGGATTTAAAAATATATAGAATGATTGAATAAGGAATTGAAATTTTTGCTAAAGATTTATTGATTCCAAGTAATTAGATATTAAAGACATTTCAGATTTTTGATATACATAATTCAAATTACTAGCCTTTTATAAAAGATATACGCTTGTATTTTAAAAATACTAGAAATGAACATATGCATAATTTAGTAAATTCAACTTGTACAGTAAAGGATAAGATAATAGCAAAAGATTAACAAGAATTATTAGATAGATCAGTTAATTAATATTTATTTTTTGATAATGAAAAAAATTCCTTTGATTTTGGGTCGTTAACATTTAGGTTAGATCCATATTAATAAAATTATAGCCATCTGGAGATTGAAATAAGCTGCTAAATAAAAGAATCAAAAAAAACATTGAAATATATACTAGATGCTAAGAGCTTAAAATGTTAATTAGGAGAATTTTATGTTGATAATGGATGCTAAATATGTTAATCAAATTAAGGGTATTATTCTGTTACATATAATTCAACAAAGTGTTCTATTTTTGATAAAGATAAATACTATAATATTACTTCAAATATGATTTAATTACTTCCAGGATTTTGGAGACCTAATAATTTTTCTGATTATGTAGAATCTTGTTTCAAGAATCCCTTATTTTGTAATGGTGGATGGTAGGTTTCTGATTAGACATGTAGTTTAGGACATATAGGAGCTTTATGTGAAGAATGTGATATTTATAATATTAGAGGACATGGAAATTATTTTAAAAACTATTGGGATTAGAATTGTTTAAAATGTTAATTTTAATGGAGTAACATATTGCCATTTTTAGTAGGCTGTCTTTGGTATTATATTGTTAATAATATAATAATAGGACTATTATATCTATTTCAATGTCCTTAAGAAGTATCTCTAGATCTAATTCATTATATGCTTCACTAATAATGGCATAAAGATTTAGCAAAATACTATTTAAATTAAATTAAGGTAAATAATATTTATAAATTTTAGATTAAGAGAGCATATAATTAAAAATGATGATTAATTATATATGGATATTTAGTGTTATTTTTACATTTAACATTAGATTTTCATTTTCTTTACTATTTATTGAATAAACTAGTGATACCTCATATTTTATTGCAAAAGATTTCGATTGCTAAATATCTTCAATTGAACAAATTCCTATTGTTTATTTGAAAATATTCACAATGTTAATCTTTATGATTATCCTCTTTATTTTCACAGTTGCAGGATCAATTATATATTCACTAATTATTAAATAAAAATATGATCTGAGTCTCCTTTCAAACACAGCTCTTTACTTATATGTTTTCAATTATGCAGGATTAATAAAGATGTATATTATTATTATTTAAAATTAAATAGGTTTTCATCATTGATTTCTAAACGAGTAGTCTCTAATAATCATTACATTTAAGGTGATGTATCATTAAAATATGGGTCTCAAGATCATTGGTTGTGGATGTATTCTTTTATTATTCCTGGATTGTTTGTTATAGGTGGGTTGATACCTATATTGATATTTATTTTATTGATGGTAAATAAAACTCGCCTAGAGAAAATTAAACTTAGAAGACACATTTGTTATTTGTTAAATGAATACAAATAATAAAGATATTATTGGGAACTCATAAAACTATTTATGAAATCAATCATAATATTTATAATGACAAATTTTGAAACAGATATTGTCTTAAAAGCATCATTGTTAGGATTATGTTTATTAGTATATCAAATATTGGCAACCTTTCATTAACCATTTATTATTTAAAAATATAATACATTAGACCTATAAACAAGTCAAATATGTTCAATTTCTATATTTTTAGCTATAACTAAATACATTTGTGAATAAAATAATTATGTGTCTCCCTCTACTATACTCTAAATTTTTATAATAGGATGTTTTATTAAACTTTGTTATCCGTTTATTTTTGGAATTGCAAGGAGTTATTTTAAAAAGTATTAATACTTCTTTTTAAATAAATTACATTTCCTTTTAAATTAGAAAGTACCAAATTTCTTTTTTACAAAAATATTAATGAATATATTAGAAAAATAAAAATTAAGGGAATAGAAATTGAAAAATCATATTACTAAATTGAAGAATCATTTAATTTATTTCTCAAAAATATAATTAAGAAACTCAAAATAAATAATGACAGGTTTCTATTCGAGTTCATAAAGCTCAAGAATTCATAGTATAAAATCAAGTAGAATAGGTATTGAAAAATTATATTTTGATCCTAATGAATAAGATGAATTTACTAAAAGATGAATGAAATATTCATTAAACTGTATGAATATCATTACATAATTTGTTATATTATTTAGTAGGTTATTAAAGATTTGCTACTATTGAGCAAATTACATACTTTATCATAATTAACCTATATATTATTTAGAATCAAATTAAAAAATATCAATAATTAATATTTCTCAATATATTTAAATAAATATTTATTTTTAAAAAATATATTAATGTTCCACTAATTCTACTATCAGAGAGAGGATTAGTTTCTCTCATTATTTTCTATCTCAAAAAAAATTAAAGAGCAAAATAGTAAGCATTTAACAGATAGTTTTACTTTAACCTATTTAATCTTACTTTTGATAATAATAATTAATCTATTAATTTTACCTCTTAATTTACATCCAAAGTTGTTGGATTTTATGAAATAGTACTCTAGGCTCAACTTCTATAATAATTACCTCCCATAAAGCTAGAAATTTTACAATTATATGTTGAGTTAACTATCTTTTTCCTTATAAACATGGTATTTAATAATATTGCTTAATAAAAATAAAACTAAATAATCAGAATATTCAGTAGAACTTTATAGATAAAAAATTAGGATTATTTTAATAATGAATACTATGTTTTCTATCCAATTAAATATTCTAAATATATCCTAATCATATTTAAAATTGTAATTATTCTTAAATAAAATGGACTTCTTTATATTAAATTATTTTTGAAGAGAATAACAAATCTATTTATAAATTTCATCTAAAAATAATTATGCACCTTTGCTACTCTTAGAAATTAAATACTGAATTCTCAATTCTTGAAAGTATTTAATCATTTTAAATTAAGTAATACTTTCCTTTATATAAGTTACTGAAAAATTAATACTAAGATTGAGATCTTGCCTCAATGAAATGAATAAATAATTTTATAAAAATAAGAAATTTTATAATACTCATTATTTTTATGTTACTATTTATTGTTTGCTTAACAAATCTACTTTCACCCAGTTTTCATTCAATTAATCTCCTTATACATAGTTATTTTTTATTTCATTGAATTCAAATTTATCTTCAAATTTTTCATATTTAGATTTTATGAATTAAGGTCTCTTAGTATTCCTCTAATACTTATCATAAGAAAAATTGTAATAATTTTAGTTTGAGTTATTTTTCTATTCAAACACTTAAGGATTTGGAGTTTCCTATTTTTTATTGATTTTTTCTAAATCTTTTGTTTTGGACTGAACAGTCTTATTATTCTCTGTTAAATTTAATTTTATTTCTTCAAAACCATCCTCCGTTTGAATATTATTTTTTTTCTATTTTATTTCATCTTACTTTGACTCTATTTTCAATTATAACTTATCAAAACTAGGGATTTCTTTTTCTATTTATATTTAATCATGTTTTTATTCAGTTTAAGATTACTTCAAATGGGACAATTAGATTTAATCAGTTTAAAATTACTCAACAATATCTGCTTTTTAGATTTATTCAATTTAGGATTACTAAACTGATTATTTTAAGATTTCATTTTGAGTGTTTTTATTCGTGCTATTAGGTTCATTTCCTCTTTAATTTGACTCCATTTTCTATTATAACTCATCAGAATTAAGGATTTCTTTTTCCTCTTATATTTAATCATGTTTTTATTTAGTTTAAGATTACAACAAATGGGCCTATTAGATTTAATTAGTTTAAGATAACTCAACATCTACTTTTTAGTCTTATTCATTTTAGGATTACTACACTGATTACTCTAAGATTTCATTTTGAGTGTTTTTATCCGTGCTAATAGGTTCATTTCCTCTTTAATTTGACTCTATTTTCTATTATAACTCTTCAGTACTATGGAATTCTTTTTCCTCTTATATTTAATCATTTTTATGTTATTCAGATAGATTTACTTTTTGATTATCTTTTTGAGTTTTGTTTACTTCTTCTTACTAATTTCCCAATTATTTTTCTTAATTTACCTCATTTTCTTTATTTTCAATTTATTTTTCATCCATTAAATGATCATAAAGGTAATATTCAGTGCCATAAAGTTAGTTATCTTCTTTATGTATTAATTTTAATAATTTTAAGGCTTCCTCCCTTTATCCTAAAACACTTAATGAAGCTAATACTCTCTTTAATCTTAACTAATTATGTGTATTAATTCGAAGACATTTATAAAATTACTTTTAATTCTCTAAAACTAATTCATTGGTATTCCATTAAATTCCCAAAAATTTTAGAAACATTTTGTAGTTTTTCACATAGAATTCCATGACCTTTTTTGATAAATAAATATTAAACCTTTTAATCTTTGATCATTTTATCTCTCTCTTCAATTGTTAATCTATAGCTATCAGAATTAAACATGCTATTGAAGAAATTTGGAAATATCCACTAAATAAATGAATGGTCATATTCTAAGTCCTCATAAAATTTTTTAATTTAGCTACTATTGGCTTCGTAAGTCTCCCAATTTTCAATATGAAAATGAATATCATTCCTCACACAACCCTTTTATGTCGAATGAAAATCATAATTAGGTAATCTAGATTTTTATTTACCATAAAACTTCACATCTTATTGTTGTTTCTTCCCATTATTAATAGAACCCATTTCTTTATTCATAAAATATTAATAAAAATAATTCATAATAGAATTCGAATTTCTACCATAAAAAATTCAAATCACTCTCATTTAAATTAAGAATATCATTCAGGAATTTTATCTTAATTTATTTTCAAATTCCTATCCTTTTTTCTCTTTAATAGAATAACAATAATATTATCATATAATTTTTTTGAATTTCCTTTATTATAATTAATTAAGAATGGTGTTTAATATAGAATCCTTTAAAAAATAACGTTTAAGCAAATCTAATTTATTTAATTAATCATAATTTTTTGTTTTCAAATAATCGTATTATTTTCATTTATAAATAATTCAAAAATGCAGCATTTAAATCCCTAAAATTTATATAATTGATGTAAAAGGAAATTCAATCATCAATAAATAGGAAAGTTAAGATAATCCATATCTAAAAATTACTCTAAATCACTTAAAGGAATATAATTTAAAAATTTATAACTTTGTAATTATAATTATAAAATATTAAAAAATAGGTAAAGAAAATAAGATAGAATTATAATCGAACAGCATATGAAAATGTAATAATTATTGAATTTAAAATTATGATTGAGTTAAAATGGCCTAACATATTACATAAATATGAATATTAAAAATAGATTTTTAAATTAATATTTCTATCTCATCTATTATTTAGCAAAATTTTATGATGAAGATATTCAGTTTATTAAATCTATCTATGATTTTATACAATAATTTATAATTACAATCTATAATATTTAAAAATTTGTTAGTTATCAAATACAATAGATTTTAATATAGAAAATATGTTTTAAATTTTTCAGTTGAAATAATTATTTGCAAAATATTACTAACCATTTATTAATAAAATAAGTATGTCATTGATATTCCTATTCGTAACTATCCAAGTTAAATTTGAGAAATATAATTTAATTTAGTTTTAAAATTATTGGAAAATAAGGATGACGATATAAAAGTTAAATCTATATGATTGGCACGCAAGTTTTAATTAAAATCGATAGAATTTAAGGTTCCTAAATAAATCCTTTTTAATTTTGTATATACTTGAAAATCATATGATTAAAGTTTTAAAGGCTTTTCTTAATTTAATGACAAAATAACAAGGTAAGAATGATAAAAAGTTGATCCCATTAAAATAATTGTAGAAGATTAAGTTTTATCATCAATTTTGTTAGATTATCTCAATATAAAAATATTAGTAATTTTATACAATTTCATTTTGTCATTTCGAACTTACTTTCAATTTTGATATTAACATATATTTCATCGAACTGAGATACAGTAAAAAATCTTTAAATCAATACCAAATCATTTATTTTTACAAAAATAATTTAATTTGATAGCTAAATTTACTCAAATTACTTTTTATAATTTATTGTTTGAAATATTAGGAGATATAGGATTAATTGTTAAAGTAAATCTTAAATTATTTCGATTTTTTAAACATAGAATGTTAGCTTAAAATGATAGGATTAGCTTGATTCATCAAAAAAAATAATACAAACCAAAAGAGTTGTTGAATCTCCCTAATAATTTTAGAGACTTATATTTTTATTAATTAGAAATTGTACCATCACTTATGTTTAAAAAGTAAATTTAACTAAATAATTACTTTTCATTAATCAGATATAATAGATCGATTATAAATATTTGCAATTAATTTAAATTAAGATTTTATGGATTTATCCTGATAGCAAAGAAAATATTTGGTGGATCAGACAAGAGAATTCATTAAATAAATAAAGAAAAACAGCAGATATAAATAATTTAGCTCTGCCAACAAATATCTTATTTGAGTACCAAGTTACTTTGATTATATTCAATTTAATGGTAATGGGAATTGATAAGATCTAGATGTTTATAATACTTAAGCCTTAAATATAAAATAAATAATAAAAACATATTGAATAAATCAAATAGTTAAGGAAAGTATTTTTTTCTGTATTTCATAAATTTTCAGACATTGATATATAAACTTAATTTAGATGTTCAAAAATAATAAAATTCGTAAATTATTGAAGTATTTAACTTTTCTCATGAAAAAAATATTCATATAATCATGTGTAATAGCTCACACTTAATCATCATTAAGATTTATATTTATTGCATTTTTAAATTAAACAATTTAGATAGAATAGAAGTTTGCTTATTTTAGAAGTAATAAACGTTAAAATGATAATAATTTCTCAAAATTTTGAATTTAATTAAAATATTTTATAAGACCTAAATCTTTATACTAGCTAATGCATACTCATTCTCTCCTAAATATAATTAAATAAGGCTTGATATCTTATCAATGNTTATTGGTGTGTCAATCTTTAAGGGCCTTTTTGAAAATTATTATGGTGCACTTGCTGTTATGTATGAATTCAAAGCTCCTAATGTTCGCACTGGTTGAGCAGGAAAGAGTTAAGGTTATTATACGATTATTTAAGTGGTATCTAGCTATAATGAGAACTAATTACTTGATCACTGGCAAACTTTAGTTTTGGTTTGGGTCCTGGGGAAAAAATAGGTATTTAACAAAAATAAAAGGAATAAATTCAATACACTGTCTCTTAAATTAAAGAATTAGTCACTGAAAATCTTTAGTGGTGTTGTGGGAGCAAATCTACCCAACAAAGTGAGAATAATAAAGGGAAAAGATAGATTAGAGTAAAGTATACAGCGGCTTCAATATAGCTTCTCCAACAGTACTCTTGATATCTGGAAGATATCTAAAGTAATATAGAAACATCCACTCATAAAGAACTCACTTGTCCCAGATCAATATGAAAGAAATTCCAGAAGGTTCTTTTCATAATTTATAAGGCAAACCTGTTGCAAGAGTAATGCTCTAGCAACCAAACCCTTCTATTCAGCTTTACTAACTTTAATAGCCAAGACAGGATAACAAAATTGTAAAGGAAAATTACGGAATTTTCATTTAACATTTTTATTATTATGATAAGTATTTTCTTTTAATTTTAAAATAAATAATAAAAACATATTGAATAAATCAAATAGTTAAGGAAAGTATTTTTTTCTGTATTTCATAAATTTTCAGACATTGATATATAAACTTAATTTAGATGTTCAAAAATAATAAAATTCGTAAATTATTGAAGTATTTAACTTTTCTCATGAAAAAAATATTCATATAATCATGTGTAATAGCTCACACTTAATCATCATTAAGATTTATATTTATTGCATTTTTAAATTAAACAATTTAGATAGAATAGAAGTTTGCTTATTTTAGAAGTAATAAACGTTAAAATGATAATAATTTCTCAAAATTTTGAATTTAATTAAAATATTTTATAAGACCTAAATCTTTATACTAGCTAATGCATACTCATTCTCTCCTAAATATAATTAAATAAGGCTTGATATCTTATCAATGACAATCTTCGTAAATTAATTAATATCCAAAGTTTTAAATTAAATGATTAAATAACATTAAATTTAAGTACTTTTAACTACTGAAGTAAAATCATTAAATTGTATTTTTAGTACGGAAGAAAAATCAATAGCTTGTTATTGATTAGCTTCCAAGTCTTAAACTTATAAAGAAAAATTATATTATAAATCCAAATAAATTGAAACAATAAAACTTGAAATATTTCAATCAAAATAATATTTTAAATGAAAACTTAATAGTAAATAAAAATTCCATTATATACAACAAACATCTATATCAATTTCATTAAATATTAGTTGTATATTTCAATTTTCATATTTTTATTATTTATATATCTATTTTCCATAGTTCAGGCCTTATTTTAACCATATTCCAACTTTTTTGCCTTTTTCATATAAACCAACATCAATGATTTACGAATAGGTATTAAACACTTCAATCAGTTCAATCCATCTTCCTATATTAATCCCATCACCTACCACGTTATATTATCCACCATCACTTAAAAAAAAGTAACATAATATAAGTCACATCTATTTAAAATCCTGCTCATCCGGCTTTCTATATAAATATCCCATCTTCCAACTTTGTTACCTTTTAAATATTCACCTTAATATGTTATTTAATAATCTCCCTTAAATCCATAACTCAAATCAATCCATCTTCCGTTCTTCATCCCATCACCATCCAAATCGAATGATCCACCACCTCTAAAACAGCTCAACATAATATCAGATACATCTATTTAAATACTTTTTCATCATGCTTTTTATAAAGAATATTCCATTTACCCACTCTTTAACCATTTTTGTATTCACCATTCTCAGTGATTTATGAATAATTATCAAACACATCATTCAACTCAACCCATCTCCCAATTTATTACTATAATCTTCTTCATTATAAGACCCACCACCACTAAAATATTTGATCATATTATGATTTACATCTTTTTAAACTCTTTTTCATCATGCTTTCTATAAAAAATATCCCAACTACCTACTTTCTTTTCTTTTTTATACTCACCATGATATGTCAGCTAACAATTATACCTAAAGTCGTCATTCAAATCACTCCATATCCCAATCTTAAAACCATTACCTAATTCATCATAAAATCCACCACCACTAAAACATTGAAATATAATTACTCTATTTAAATTCTTTCTCATCAAATTTTCTAAAAAAAACTCCAAATACCAAATTTCTTACCATTTTTATATTTGCCTCTATAAGTTATTTAGGAATAGTCATCAAACCATCCTTCAATTCAATCCACATCCCAGTCTTACTTCCATTATTATAAGATCCACAACCACTTAATAGTTGAAAAATATAATTTATTACAACTATTTAAATTCTTTCTCATCCTAATTCCTATAGAAAATATTTCAGATACCTACTTTTTTGAAATTTTTATATTCTCCATTTAAAATAACTTAAGAATAATCTTTAAATCCATCCTATAATTCAATCCATCTTCCAACCTTAACTCTATCCTCTCCTTTTTCATAATATCCACCTCCGCTAAACTCAATTAATTATATGATTATTTTTACACCTATTAAAATTTTTTCTAATATAACCCTTTAAACAAAATATTCCATCTACCAATTTTTTTTCCATTTTAAAATTCTCCATTATAAGTTGCTTAAGATTGCTAAAAAAATCGTCACTTAATTAAATCCAAATACCAATCTTAATCCCATTTCCTTCTATGTCATATGATCCGTCACCACTATTTAATAAATAGGTATATTACATCTCTTTATCATTATATAAATAGCTCCAAATTGCTTTCCTAAAGCCATTCATATACTTTCCCACTTCATATACCTTAGCATGACTATTAATAATAAATTTTGAGTTACTTAAAAAAGTTTTTTATTATTTCCTTTCATAAGCCTTATTTTTTTCCGTCTTCAGAGTATAATATCTTAGAATTTTAATTTGATTTTTGACTATACTGACCACCTACAGTTTTTAAATTTTCCTCTTTCCAAGTGGCTGTCCATCTTCCTATTTTTTAATTATTTTCTCCAAAGTTTCCTAACGATTAAAAAATTCAATTTATTCAAAATTCTGAAATATTTAATATTTATTTGTTGAGTCTTTTACTTAATCACTATTAAAATTATTAGATTTCAACAATATTACATTCGTAAAGTTGCTCCATCTCTAATATAATTTATTTTGTTATTTTTAGTCAAGTTGATCTGGACTTATATTTTTTTTGGAGGAAATTTTGAGTAATCCCAAACCAATGTGGATTCATCAAATTCTAACTAAGTGTTAAAATCAGCAAAATAATTCATATAATAATAATTAATTAAAAAAACATAGAAATATCAAGCTTAATTAGTTGTAATTAGAATTTAGAATAATGTACTCTCAAGAGTAATCACTCCTAATTTGATCTAATAACAATAGATAAAGTTTTATGCTCTGATTAGAAAATGAATTATTCCCATTTACTTTGCTTTGGATATTGTGAATAATTTTTAAATAACGGATTTAAAATAAGAATAGGCTTTAATTGCGATTTAAAATATAAAAGTAAGATTGTAATTTATATTTCCACTATTTAATTTAAGTAATAAAAGTTTCTCGTTTTATATGAATAATTCAAACTCTGATCATCTAATAATGCTTTATCAGTTATGAACATGATCAGGATAAAGAAAATTATTATTCAAATATTAATTAACCTTAATAATTACATTCATTCCTTGGTATTAACTATATTTAAAGAGTCTTCAAAATCAACATGAATTGGTTTTGTAAGCACACCAAAAATGAACCAACTTAATATAAAATAGCTATTAAAAGAGAATTTTTTTAAGATGTTGTTTTATTTTTCTTACCAAAAATGCTTTTTCTCTTCTCTTTTTTTGATTATTCAAAACTTAAATTATAAAGTTATTTCTATAAATTGTTTGGCTGATGGTGCCTATAATAGATTGAAACTTTGGAAAGTATAAAATAATTAGAGGATAAAATTTAATTCAAAGGATTTGAAAGCAAAAAAGGGCAATTCATAACAATATGCTTCTGTCAATTTTTAGAAACAACTTTATCTGATTATCTAAGTATAAAAGTATGCAAATTTTAGAAAAACTAAAATATTTATTGCCTATTGTAGATAAAGAAATAAAGAATGGAGTATGGTCTACATATATTTTATTAGAATTTCTCTGAAATGAAAAATATTTTACAAAGGAATTTCAAAATTATTTTAATTTTTATCCTCCTGTTCGACTAGTAATAAATAAGTTGTCAATTTAGATTATCCCTATTAATTATTAATTGGGATGACTTTAATTACTAGAAATATTATCAATTATGGATAGATTAACCAAAATCTCTAATTAGTTCCCAAGATTTTCGAAAAATAATTACAAGTTTCAGAAATTTGGTGGCCCATGAACTAGATTAAATTCGTCAAAGAAATAATAAAAAAATTCTTCGAAGCTCATCTAGTTGAACAAATGAGAATGATAAGCGATAATAATCACTTTTTCTCAAATAATTAATGTTAAATTTGTGATCCGTATTGAATTGATTATTAATCTAAGAATATAAGTCTTGATTGATATTCATTACTTTAATAATAAACTTTTAGAATTTTTAACTTGCAATTTTGATTTTAATACTGAAATTGGATATCTATGCTAAACTGTATTAAGTAAATTTGTCTTTTAGTTATTTATTTTATTGGTTAAAATTATTGACAAAGGATGGAACATGTGAAAAGTGTGAACCTGATTGTTAATATAGTTGTGTAATATAAAAACAACACATTATAATATGCCTAAAATGTTTAGATCAAAAAATTATTGCAATTAAATTTGATGTGATTACTTGTATAATAATTGGCCTCTATAATTGTCAATGACTATATCAAAATCTAATAATTGGGCTTATTCTGATTATGCTGCAATTTTGAAATTGCAAATGATTTTAATGATGAATTACATATTTGTGGATCACATGAAAAATCTTATAGATATAATATAAAAAGGATTTTTTCAACCCTATTTATTCTAAAATATGAGTTTAGTATTATTATACTGATTATTTTACAATGGTGTGATTTACCCTTATTTCAGCTTGGGCAAAAAAAACCATTTTTTTCTTCTTTTTTTTTTCAAGGTAATTAATTTTTTGGATAAATTATAATAGGAATAGCTTATATAATCTCTAATTTTATACCTAAAGAAAAGAGTATTCAAATCAATTTAGTTTACTTTATTAATTAAATTAGAATTTATGATTTAAATTTAAAAATATCTCTGAAGATTTAAAAATTAAACCTTAGTTTCATGATCACGATTCTGATCTTTTACATATACAATTATAAATTTGTAAATTTTGAAAACAAATATAAAAGCATTATCAAATTATTAAATATAAAAATATTTTTTTTGAAAATTTTGATATAATAATTTAATTATTATTAACTCAGCAAAATAGTCACCAAATCTAGTACTACTTAAAAAAATTTATAATACAAGATAAGTATCTCACTGATTCATCTTGATAGTAAATGTTAGGTTTAGGCTATTTTAATAAATAAATAATAAGATATTAATTGTATAATTATGGAAAAAATTTATTTATATTTTCAACTGCAGGTTAAATGATAAATTATCCTTCTGGAGATGTAATAATGGATTAAAATTTATTCAAATTTAACTATGCAACAAATTCAATAGATACAATAATAAATGTTTTCGCAAAAGCTATTCTTATGAATTCTAT